GGCACTCAGGGCCGGGGCACTCAGGGATGGGGCACAGCAGGGATGGGGCACAGCAGGGATGGGGCACAGCAGGGATGGGGCACAGCAGGGCTGGGGCACTCAGGGCTGGGGCACTCAGGGATGGGGCACAGCAGGGATGGGGCACTCAGGGATGGGGCACAGCAGGGATGGGGCACTCAGGGATGGGGCACTCAGGGCTGGGGCACAGTGGGAATGGGGCACAGCAGGGCTGGGGCACTCAGGGATGGGGCACAGCAGGGATGGGGCACAGAAGGGATGGGGCACTCAGGGATGGGACACTCAGGGATGGGGCACAGCAGGGATGGGGCACAGAAGGGATGGGGCACAGCAGGGATGGGGCACTCAGGGATGGGGCACTCAGGGATGGGGCACAGCAGGGATGGGGCACTCAGGGATGGGGCACTCAGGGATGGGGCACTCAGGGATGGGGCACTCAGGGATGGGGCACTCGGGGATGGGGCACTCAGGGATGGGGCACAGCAGGGATGGGGCACTCAGGGATGGGGCACTCAGGGATGGGCCTGCGGCACCACCACCAGCTCCCAAAGGCTTCTAAACATTGTGCTCTTCCTGAGGCCTGCCAGGGGTGGCTGGGACACGTCCCAGAGGGAAGGTGGGAGTGCCAGGTTGGCTGGAATGCCACGAGAAAAGGCCCGTGTGAAGGACAGGGCAGACAGGGCTGCTGAGGGAGCGCCGGGTTTGTGGCAGCACAGAGAGGAGTGAGGTGAAAAGTGTGAGGGGAAGAGGGGAGGCACACAGTGAGAGGAGTGAGGTGAAAAGTGTGAGGGGCAGAGGGGGGGCACACAGTGAGAGGAGTGAGGTGAAAAGTGTGAGGGGCAGAGGGGGGGCACACAGTGAGAGGAGTGAGGTGAAAAGTGTGAGGGGCAGAGAGGAGGCGCAGTAAACAGGGAAGGGAAGGTGAACAGGGGGAAGGTAAGTATAGAAAAATAAGAAAGAAGTACAGGGTAAGGAAATTTTACGTCATTTTCTAGAGACGAAAGCAAAGGCCTAAAGTGCAAAATCCAGTCATGGTTCTAGAGGAAGGAGTAAGGCAGCTCATGTGGGAGCAACTCCAACAGACAGAAGGCAAGGCCTGTCCGTGGGTAACAAACAGGGCTGTGTGTCTTTAAGAGACCGATGTTTGTGTTTTCCCATGCCCTCCTATTGTGGAAATAACTTTCTGAGTCATTTCTCTGATCCTGGAGACAAACTGAACAGACACAAAACATAACAAAACACAATAGCAACGGGAAGAGAGAAATTCCTCCCTCCTCCTTCCACCACACATTTTATGCCAGTGATCTGAATGCAGAAGAAGGAAGGTGGAGACTGGCAGTGCTGTTTGGTGCACACACTTTGAATCAAGCTCACCTTCTCCACCACTACCCAAACAGTTAAAACGTGAAAGCCACACTTCCCCAGTCCGTCATTTTTAAGTGTTATCCAGTCTCTTCGGTTAAAAGTCTTACCTTCCAGATTTTCCACAGACAGTGAACTGCAACAGGAATTTTTTAAACTTCAAAGACCCTACAACCTTTTTCTCAAGCCTCATGCCCCACCCTCTGCAGAAAAGATGTCAGTTTGGGACTCTGAAAATGCCATGCTTGGGCGCTGACATACATCTAAAGATGAGAATCACAGCTCGGATCTGCCCAGAGGGCACACACACCTGAGCTGGGCACACCCACAGGTGGCTGGCCCCAAACCCAGGCTGTGCCAAGACTTCTCCACCAAAATGCAGAGTCACCACTGATCAGTGCTGAGGTTGAGAACCCTCTCAAACCCTTTGAAATTACAGACAGAAAGCTCTGTGAAGTTGCAAGGCCTTGCAGGTTTGGTTTAACATCCGAGCTTTTGGTTAACTTTGGAAGTCATTAAACAAATCCCAGTCTTTCCCACTCCGGGGCTGCCACACAAACTGCGTTTGCAGCCTGCTGGGAGAAACAGGACGGCTTAGAGCAAGCAGCAAGTTTTGGTCAGCAGTGCCAGTCCCCCCTGTGCTGCTGCAGCCAGCCCTGCTGCCAGGGCAGCCCGGCCAGACCCCGGCACTCGGGCACAGCAGGTTGGCAGAGCCCTCAAAAACACGACCTGCATCCACCTCCCTCCTGCAGGACAGGAGTCAGCTCAGCAGCTGAGGGTGTGAAAGCAGCCGCACATTCCCCAGCTTCTGCAGCCTTCCCTGAGGACTGGGGAAGGGACAGCTTCCCCCGAAGGAGCCCTCGCAGGCAGCTGTGCTGATTAACTGAGCAAACAAGAGGCAAGGCTGGAAACAGGAACCTGGGGCGGGGTGGGTCTGCACAAACAACGAGCCCGGGTGAATAAATCAGATCTGGCTGTTGGCATCCCTGCAAGAAACCTTCCAGTAAGGCTACGCTGGGTATTTTTGGACTCCACCTGTCTATTTTTAGGAGGGATAATTAATACTGAAGGAAATAAGGAAAAAATCAAGTTTTAAGTCCGGGAATGGAAAATTTGTTATTCTCCACAAAATCACTATGATTAAGGAGGACTAAAACGGAAGGGTTGTATTTCAGGAGTAAAAATATGCTTCAATTCACTGTAAAAATTGCATGTTACATAGTGTTTGCTGAGAGAGGGGAAGCGTTTCAAGAAGACAGGGGTTCGCCACTTAACTGCTGTTAAATAGTAGTGGAGGCACAGCTGAGTGGTCAGCTTTAAAGCCCAGCTGTGCACGGGCTGTGTTTTTGTGCTCAGACTCCCAGCTTCTCTGGGTGGTGGTGTGATCTGGCTTTGGGAGGGACTGGGTGGGACCTCGAGAACGTGCCCGGGCCTGTGCATGAAGTTACTCAGCAAGAGAAAAATCCCAGCCAAGTTATGTAGCACCCTCACCAGGTCCTTAAAATAATCTGCCTAAAGTACAGGGCTATTACAAGGATAGAATGTGGGTTTTATGAACTGAGATGGGAGGTTCTTAGAAATAAACCCGCCCTCTTGGAAACAGGAGCTGAAATAGGACGGACAACGTGTGCAACACTTGCAAAATTCTGCTATTTTACTGGTAGCAATGGTTTAGATTCACATCCCTCAGCCTCGTGACAAAGTCCTCAATCAGTATTCTTGTTACCATTGCCCCTAGAAGAAAAAACCCTTTCCTTAGTCATTTTCTGTTGGTGTGTTCAGATCCCACCTCGCTCCAAACAGCAGATGCTTCAGAGCAGGGCCTGCCTGCCCAGCACGGCACACACAGCACCTTGCAACCCACACAGGCACCAGTGGCACCTCTGCTCTCCTGCAAGGACAGAGTCCACAACCTCTGCTGACCCTGAGCTTTCCTCTGTCTGCAGGTATGGCATGGTTGCACCAGGAGCAAGGGAAATCCCAATGGCAGGTTGGCTTATTAGTATATTGAAACCTTTGAGATCTGCAGAACAGGTAAACACGTTCAAAGATTTTTTTATCTCTCCTCCCCACACTATTTTACTACCTGATTTATCTCCCATTCAAATTCAAGATGATGTCAAACAGCAATTATTGAAGGGAAACATGCTCTGTGAAAAGGCACAACAGTAAAATGGTTCATATGGAACTTGAATCAAGAATGAAAGGACAAAATTAAAAAATCCAGGATTATGTTATAAAAATAAGACCTTTCAAATCTTTTTAGATCACTTGAAAAGATTAGTTCAACTGATAAATAATCACCAAGCCACTGTCTCAAGAGAGGGCCAGACCTACACTAACTAAGCTTTTTATCAATCACCAGGGGAAAGTGTTTCAAAGAATTATTAATACCATTAGGAGATTAAATGATTGGACGCTAATGCAGAGTAATCTGGATTGCTCAGAAAACTGGGTACAACCAACCCAGTGTGTTGGATACAATCAAAGTGAACTCAGGCATTTAGAAAACAAACGACTTGGCTTTACTCACCAGATGTACATTCACCTCCATCACCATGCAGGACTCTGGCTCAGGAACCACGGACTCCAAAAACTGCGAGCTCAAAGAGCAGCTGTTCCTTCTACATCTTAGGGACAGAAAACTAAACATAAAAAACTAAAGACATCTTAGTGAATAAATATACAGTAACCTCAGTTTAGAAATAAGCTTGCACTGAAATGCAGACACTATCAACTCTAAACAGAATTAGACTCTTGCAGCAGAGGGGCTGCCTGGTGCAGATTGCAGCACAGCCTGCCTGCAGCACAGCCTGCCTGCAGCAGTTTCTGCCACAGCTGAAGTGTATCTCAAAAAAAGCTTTCAGTCCAACTCGGGTCTTTACAGATCAAGGAAGATGTTAAAAGGCTGGAGGAGACTTGAAGCACAGGCATGAGAAATCTTATATTTCAGGGACTGGAAATGTGCCTTTGCAGCAGCCTTGGAAGGCAGGATCTGCTCAGCCTGACACAGAAGGGTGAGGGATGGCCCCATCAGAGGGTACAGGCAATTCAAGGGCAGCAGACAACTCCTGTATCAGACAGGAGTGAAATGAGATCCAAAGGCTAAAGCTGGAGTCAGACAAACTCAAGTCAGAAGTTTTTTTAAAAAATGGCTAATTACCCTTGGAACAAGTTACCATGTCACTGTGGTTATTATTCAGCACTTGGGAGTTCTCTGAATAAATGCTGCAGTCCATTCAGGTGGCTGTTGGACAAATATCCTGCCTTTCCCCTGATGACACAGGCAGAGATTTCCTGAGGAGGGTGACAGGGACAGTCCCAGCCCAGTCTGTCCTGCCCCTCCTGCACAGGGTCCTGTGCCTTTGGAGCCCAGGGCCTGGGAATACTCTGAAAACAGGAGCTGAACAGGCAGGGTTTGATTTCTGCCTCCTGCCTCCGATCCTCATTATCTAATTTACGTAACTCAATTTGCAATCCAGCAGTGAGCTCTGGCAGCAGAGCACGAGCTGGGGATGAGCAGCTGAGCCCCAGGTTTGCAGGATGCCCCCCAGCCTTGGCTGCAGCGTCACGGCGAGCAGAGCACCCCGACAGCACGGACAAGAACTCCAGCAAACCGGTACTGTAGAAATAATTCATTTTATTGAATAGGCATTAGAGCTTCTCTCACTGTCAAATAATGGAGAAGCAAATCACACAGATTACAGAGCTATCAGTTACTTTGAGTAATCTTTCATAAAAGAAAGAAAGTAAATGCAGTTCTGCTATAAAAAGTGCAACAGTTATACTGGAAGTTTTTCAAAACAAAAGCAAGTTTTTCTACCTATTGCAAAAATCAGTTTAGTGCTTTAATACTTTACAAAGTAACAATCCAACTGCTAAAAACAGCTCTTACACATCATCTTTGTCAAAATATGGATCAGATTAAAAATGACACTTAAATTGAATTTGAATGAAAACAGCATGTAGAAAAGGTTCCCAAGAACTCACACTTTTCACAACAAAAAATATTCATTACCATTTAACGTTAATTAATGCTCCTGCTTCTTTTGAACAATGGATTTAAACGAGATGGCAGTTAGCTTAAAAATGGTAACTGTTTGCAGACAAAAGTGACTGCAACCAATCATGTCCTGAAATCAGGAATAGGGAGGGAATGGGGAAAGAGAAATTCACTCCTTTCATACAGGATAAACGTTTTCCATGAAAATGGTCAAAGAAGAAACCTGAAAAGTCACTTCAGCTTTAAATAGATTTCTGTAATATTGGTTATTGAAATCCTAAAGCAATCTTTGCTAAGAGAGTGTAAATTTATAGAAGACAGCAAGAAACTCAGACTTTGAAAAATGAGAAGGGTAGTAAGACTACCAAGAATTTGAATTCTTAGCCAGCAAAAATCAATCAGACTTACTATATTCCTTATTAACATTTCCTTAAGCCCCAGTGACAGCCAACTACTATATTTCTTTGAAATATGGGCTTTAAGAACAAATACCTTTATTGTACATTTCTGTGGGTTAAAAAATGCTGATTTTACCAGCAGTTCTTATTAGAAAGAGTCACATTACCTATTCTGATATTTTAACCTCTATAGAATTAGCTTTGGTTATAACTGAACAGAGATCCTCAGTTAATGAGTAAATGAACTCTAGACCAAGGGTGGGACATCTGACTTACTTTAATTCTTGTTTGGGGAGACAAGCCACTCTAATGCAAACTGAACTCAGAAAGCCAAATCTTCTTTATTGGAAAATCTACCACAGGCTTTGGGGGCAAAGAGCTTTAGAATTTGTCAAAGAAACTGCAAGATGAAAATAAAAACGTTAGCAAGAGCAAAAAAGATGCACAAACAAACACTGGGGGCATTTGATATAACACCAATAGTAAAGTTAGGATGAATTAACTCCATATACCTTTTGTATCTAATACTTCAGACTGCCCTTCAAGATGTGCCCGTGTCTGAGAGGCACTGGCTTTATCAACACAGTGTGTCCAAGTGGCACAAGCACATGTAAACAGCATTGAGATGCTCAGTGTTTCAGTCAACCTCTTCATACAAAAATGGTAGTCACGAGAAACAATGAGGAAGAACAAGGCCTTCCAAGGAGAACAAAAGTCTTCCAGCCCCACAAGAGGCAACTTCAAGGCATTATGAAAAGTTCATAACAGTATTTTATGTCTCAAAATGGAGTGCAAAGGGAAACTCCAGATGGGTTCCAAAAGAAAACAAGAGCTCTATGCAGATTTGAAAAGCTGCTTCATAGCTGAATGTGCTAAGCCTGGCACATTGCAGATGAAAAGGAACCAGCAGGCTCAGAGCAATGGGCTTGGAAAACACACAGGAGCAATTGCTCCTTTCCCAGGAAAGAGCACAAACCTAATCTAGATCCCTGGGTAGAGTTTTACACAAAGCTGTCAAAGCTGCCCACAGCACAGCACTATGCTTGGGAACTTCTGGCTGCTTAAGTCTCTGTGGCTGATTTTATCCATTATTTAGTCTAGGCTTAAATCCTGTTTGTTCTCCTTGGTCCTGGGGAAGAGGCAGAGCCCTGCACCACGTGCATGCAAAGCTCTCCGAGCTCCCAGGGAAAAGCAGTTTTGTACTTTATACAAAGACTGTATTTACAGTACTCAGAATATTGAGCAAATAAACAATAAAACCACTGCTGAACTTCTGTTCGTATCGAAAGTGCCCACAATGTGCAAAGCTGAGAGATGAGAGCGCGTCTGTCCCGCCCACGTGGCTGTGTTTGGGTTCATCCCTGGCATGGATGTCCATCCCATGCACAGGAGATGCCAGGTCTCGCTGCTGCATCTCCTGCACATGTGAACCGAAAGCACGGAAAGAGGCTTTGTGTTACCTGAACCTGGCAGCAAACGGCAGCGAGGCAGCGTTGCACTTCATCTTCACTGCAGAGGAACTGGTCACACACCAGGGAACTGCACCTGTTTTCGAGGCAGCAACGCCCCAGACCTGCTGGTGTGGCCGTGGCTCGCAGGCTCCACACACAGCCAGGCAAAGCCTCTGTGCCCAGGGGTTCTCACCTGATTCTGTGGCAAAGCAGTTGCATGGAATTTACCTGTAAAGGTGGCTTTTATCTCTCAGCTTGCCCAAGAAGGAAAGTGCAATTCCATTTTCATGTGAGAAAGGGAAGAACTGGGTCACTAACATACAACCCTAATCTTTACATTTCCCCCGCCCCCTTTTTTAAAAAGAAATGGGATTCGAAAGGGGCAAAATGCAGATGAACTACACAACACACAGGAATTAGGCACTGTTTAGTTTCAACATTGGATCATGTGTTTTGCAGTCTCAGATGATTTTACCATTAGAATTTGCTTTGTTTAAGAAGGGAAGAAAACTTCCTTTTCTCCCTTCTTCCCCAATAGCAAACCTCTGCAACAAAGTAAGAGGCTACATTAGAAACAGAGATTAATTTCTCTGATTTTCCAGAATACAGGAAGATCCACAAAACTTACAGTCTTGACAGGAAAGTTTTTGATACATCTTAACTATTTTCCCTCTTTTTAGGATTTTGGTGCCCTGGTTACCCCACAAGCTACCACTCTCTCTGTTTTTACTCCATCTCCAGTTTTCATTAAAGTTTCCTGACACACTAACACTTACCAGAGTCACGTTTTTTAAAAGCAAATGTTAAGATTACAGGTTATTCAGACAAATATGTGTACACAGAGCACAGCAGGCTCGAGTGCTCTACAGTCATGGGTGAACAAAGAAGTGGGACAGAGGCTGCATCCAGTGAAGTGACTCTCAGTCCCCAGAGAGTCATAATTTTAAGGCTGTTTGGAACATGGTGGCTTTTACCCATATTGCCTGTTCCACAGTGCAAATGTGCATCAGCCATTTCAATTCAGTCCATGCATTCAGGTAATGGGAGGTAAAACAGCAGTCAGAACAGCAGATTCACGTGAGAGGAAAAATCCCAACCAAACAAAACAACGTGACAATGATATCCAAGGGAAGAATAAGGTCTTAACCCCCCCCAGCCAGTGGAATACACTACCTACCCCAGCAAGAATGCAACGGTTAAACAATTAGATGGTGTTTTGGTACAAGGCAAGTCTCCCCATACTCAAACAATCACTCTGTGAATAAGCCCAGTAATTTGTTCACACATGGAAGATCACGAAAAAGAAAATGGAAATTCCATCGACTGAAGAGTCGACTGTTAATAAAGAAAGGCCCTGAATATGTGTTGGAGTAATGCTCCCTTGATTTTCTGAAACCAAGAGCAAGCTTTTCTTCCCACAGAAGCTGATGCTCAGTACATCCTAAACCCGGCCTCTTTACCAGCACAAACCCAGATGCACAATCAGCAGGAATCCAGATCTGAAAATTCTGGTTGCAGTTCATACCTTAATAGTAATTCTTAAACAAGCAAATCCCAACCAACTAAACCACAAGAGTTAGGGAATTTTAAAAGCGGCACAGATTCCTAATTTAGCATATGCATTAGTTTGTGATGTCTTTTTTTTGCACAGTTCATCAATGTACAGTACAAAGAACGATGAAGAAATAAAACCTGAACCCTTCAACCTGCAAGAAGCGAATGCATATTTGAGATCTCTTAAGACAGGATGTATCTGCCAATCAGTGATGACATTTCTGTGGTCTAGGGTGAGTTTCTTCCCACAGATGCTAAATGACTGCACAAGTTATTAATTCCTGGGTTTTGTCCTGAAGGAATAATAAATCTCTGATTCTGGTTTTTTTTTTTTTAGAAAAAGGCAAACTAACCCTACTCCAGTGGGTTCAGGGTGTATTATGAATGTCCCATGGCAATCAATATCTGCACAGAAACGTTTCATTTGGTAAGGAAATTCTAGATGAATGTTTATTCAGAAGCTGCTTATAAAAGTGGCTATTGGTAGGGACTGGAATTAAATAGGGAGGAACAATGTTGTACTAAAATATATAAAGAAAAATTTAAAGCTTTTCAATTAAAAAAAATTTGTATATTCAACTGACATTAGATATAGATGTGCACAACAGACAGAGCAGTTAGAAACAATTACATTTACAAAGCTTTCTTTTCATGGTTAATTTCTACCAGCATTTCTGAAAGGAACCTTTAAAATGATGACCCTGTTTATAATAAAGGCGCAAAATATTGCTCTGTAGCCTATTTGGAAAATAATATAAAAATAATTTCTATATTACAATTTAAACTTGGCTTGTAAAATTCCAACATAATACAGCCTTAAGTCTACAAATAGAACATACTTACAAACACCTTTGTGTTCTTGTCCTCTCATTTTTAACAATACAGTGTTTTAGTCACATACACTGGAAATCCATCTGCAAATTAAAATAGATACTAGTGTCTGTTACTGAAATAATTTCACTCCTATGCTATACATGTTTGGTGAGCCTCCTAAGCTGCCATTCCCTAAAACAAATACACTGACAGAGACTTCAAATACACTAAGCTGAACAGCAATCTACAGTCAGCATCAGTTATTCTGCTTCTCTGGACCTATGTTCATTTGAGATTATTGTGGTTTCTATTAGCATATGGGTTTTCACCTGTGCAAAACTCTCCCAGTGTTAGGAAGAGCTGACTCCCTTATGAGCTTGTACTCCCCTTTCATGTCCAGCTTGCAAGTATTTTACGTGTCAATAAAGCACCTGATTTAAGGCCCCCCTACTGATAGGATTCTGTCCCCAGATTTCAGGGGACAGCAGATTTAGCCCAAAGAGGCCTAAGGCTTCCCTCTGCTCCTCAGGCAACATCCTCATTGATGCTCCTGCTGGAAGAGTAACATCAGGCAGCCTGTGGGGACAGACACTGGCTAAAGGCTCAGGCCTTGACAAAAACATTCCCGCTTTCCCTTAACCCCTTCTGGACGTTTCTGAAAAGCAGCAGTCTCCTTGCTGTCAGGAGACTGATCAGGTGGGTGAAGTTGAGCACCAGTGTAAGTGTTTGCAGAATTGCAGAGCTGGAGGGCAGTATTTTGTCAGATCTGTGCATTTTGATATCTACACGTTCATCACACGAGAAGCAGCTGACCCTGACTGTGCCCTGTGCAAGCACTGACCCTGCCTCACCTGTCCAGTGTCTCCTCAGTCCTTCTGGACCCAGAACTCTGCTCACACCAGAGAAAAGATGGCTCTGGAGACTTCACTTGGCCTATTTGGACTTCTTAAGAAATAAGCAACACAAAACTTTTCAAGTACAGCATCTTTCTTTCACTGATGCCCTTAATGTTACCTTTGACTTAGGGAGAAGCAACTAATTGCTAAAGAAAGCTGGGACAATATTTCCATTGCATTTGTAGAACAAAGAGTTAATCAGGTTTTTAAAATCCAAAATACCTGAAGTCACTTTTGGTAACCTGCAAAACCTTCTTCTGAATGAGCTGCTTGTTATCCATATGCTACAACTGATACACACCTCTGAAAATATACTTGAAAAGTCTGTGGTTTATCAACTCCTTATAAAGCATTTAAAATGGACCTTTATATTAAAGTGTGACTGAAACCCATTATGTGTCACAGGCACCCTCTGTTACAGACCTTTGTATCAGAGTTTCTGAACAAACTAAATAAATTGCATAATAGGTTTAAGTCTTTCTTAAATTAGAAAAGTTGCACATTCACACATGAGAAGAATTCCAGCTTCCTCCAACCTACACATCTGCTGGTAATTCTGGATCTGTTCTGGGAAGGTGTAGCCTACCCAGTATTTAGTCTGTACTCTGGAGATGCAGACAACAGTGCTGAGTGTTGAATCCCTGTCCAGGAGAAAGGGGGAACTGCACATTCAAAAGCAAAACTGTGGTGGGTACTGCAGCCACTTGAGCTACCCAAGAAATGAGCGGGGTCCCCCCGAAGAACCCTGATTTCTGCACAGCTGGGACTGGGAGGTAACTCCAGTTACCTCTGGAGGGCACAGAGATGGCACAGCAGGCACAGAAAAGGACTGACTGGCCCGTGGGCTGCAGATGCCTTCAGCTGTCAGGAAAAATGAACCAAAAGCAGTCAGAGGTTAGCATGCAGTGCAACAGGAAAACATGGATGAAGATTATTGCCTCTCACACAGCTGAGGAATGACACCATTTCTTTCAGTGCTGGTCAATGAAACTCATGAGCAGTTGGGAATTCTCCTTAAGAAAACAGGCAGAAAATTTCCTTCTATAACTGGAGACTTCTAATGGGACAGCCCCTCCTCCAGGAGGAGGCCCCGTTCCTGCACGTTGGGACTGTTTAGTGCCAGCTGTGGCATCGTGCAGACAACTCCACTAAGAGCTCAGAAAGAAAAAGAAGGACAACTTCCCCTCCCAGTACTCCTTATCCAGAAAAATGGAGAACTACCAGGAAATCATGGGCAGATTTTAACTGGCAAATTGCATTGTAGGCCTGCAACTTCTTTCCAATATCAAATGTTAGGGGACATGAGAATTGTGGGATATTTGAAGAGAATTCTAAGAGAAAACAGCAATTAGAAAATTATTCAAAGATACCCCAAGAAAAGGATTCTGAGGAAACAGGCACAACTGAAAGGTGTTCTGTCAGTATTTCATATAGCACATATTTTAAAATGAGCAGCAGTGGTAAATCTTTATGGAAATATCTGAGTGTCCTGAGGATGACAATGAACACTCAAGTTTGGTATCCTATAGAGACAAGCCTGGTATTATTCAGAAGACCAATTGATTTTTCAACACAAGCTGACACACAGGTATAATGTATTCAACAATTTAGAACAGAGTAATTTATCTACATGCTGACCAGTTGTAAATCTCTTTCTTTTACGAGTAGGAGATCTTAAAAACATACTATAGAAACAAGTCCCTTAAAAAATAGGAAACAGTGAATTGTCATGGTAATTGCTTATTTTTACCCATGTGCTGTTACTTTTTTCCTCATTGAAAAGATACAACTCACTCAAACACACAGGCTGGTGGGGGTTGCTGATAATGTATTTCTAAAGCACAGCTTTACACAGAAGTGATTCTCAGAGCATCAAATGCTACTGCTACTCTAATGCCCTAAGAATTCTTAAATATTTCTGGCTTTCATGAAGTTTTATCCTGCCAGTTTTCTCAGTCTCAGCAGCAAATACAATCAAGTATAATAATATTGATTTCTTTTTCCATTATCTGGCTTGTTTTAGCATAATCTGCAATCCCAGTTTTCTCTGACAATTAGAACTTAGGTGTAATCACAAGAGCAAACCAAACAGGGCACTGCTCCCCAGGGTGTGCAGCAGGAGACAGGGGTGTGGGACGTGCTTACCTTGGGGACAGGAGTCCCACGGAGCTCTAACACAAAGCACTGCTTCCCCTTCAGGAAGGAAGGCAAGGTCAGTGAGACTCAGTGTATGCCCAGAATACAGCAAGGAATAGTAAGTACAGGTCTGGATTCATGGCAAAGACCCTCACTTTTTAGGACTGGTTAAGGGACTTATTTTGAGATCTCCCATTCAGCAGAAAACCTAAAAATACAGTCGGTTTTAGTATATGCTCAGTTTTGGTAGGACATTAGAGAAAGCTCACGTGCTTTTCCTCAAAGCCAGCACGTGGCAGCAGCACTTTGTGCATCCTGTTTTGCAGATGACTTTAGGCTTGGTTTCAGGGTCAGTTAGGGTTACCTGTATGCAAGTGAAATGATGCCATCCAGGTCCAGAGCAAAAACTGGGGTACAGCAGAAAAAGAATCAGAAACAAAGACTCTTTGGCAAAGGATCTTTCCTGCGAGGGCCAGAAAAGTGCCATTCCACAGTGAGGAAGGCAGAACTCACGTTCTGCACCTTTGGGTGGCAGAGGAAGTCCTGAAGGCAGTGCTTCACCTGCTGGTGGAAAATTAGCTCTTCTGAAAGCCCCGTGTGTGAGGGGAGAGGGAATGAGCCACTGAGCTCGTTACTGCACTGTGCCACTGATGGAGGAGGTGCAAAACCTTCCAGAAAACCTTCTCATGCCATTCATCTACTTCACCAGCATCTCTTTACAGAAACGTTTCTGTGCGCTAAGTTTTATTTTCAGAAGTATTGCAAATACTTCTGTAAATATTTGGATATCAGGCTTGTGCAAATCTGTGCTCGGAGCTGCCATTCCTGCTGGAGGTATTTCACAGCCATCTGGGAACCTCCTGGGCGGAGATGACTCACTCTGAGAAGACTCGGAAATAGGTGGAGCCAACAGTCTTCAAGAAAGGCTCACGCAGCGAGGCTTGCAATAATTATCACCCAGTGATGTTGAGAAAGGAATAAATAATTAATGACTAGGTTCATGCACTAGCTAAAGCAGTAAGTTGATGCATTACATTTGTTTTGACAAGCAGTTCATTCAGATCTAAAATGATCCCAAATTTCCTAGCTGGTCATCAGATTTTCCAAATGTACTAAATTTTTTATATTTTAATTTTATTTTAATATTTCTCTGCGTTTTAACAGCAATGAAAATACTTTTGAAATTCAGGTGCCCAAAACTATGCTATTGTGGGGGTTTTGGGACATGAAGTCTTGAAAGTCAGAGTGAATTTTTTTATAAAACTTGTTTAAAAATTCAGTGCAAATAAAAGTGGTTCAAATCTACTTTTTTTTTTTTTATGGAAATGTAGAAATAATTGGTAAGAACTTAAAATTAGGAAGAGCTACAGCCCTCATGAATTCAGACCTTTCACTCCCCTTTCTCCAGAATCATTGCATTTCAGACTGAAGTAAGTACAAACATCAGAAACAATGCAATCTGCTGCCATGTTAAAAATGTGCAGTATGCAAAATCACTAACCCTCCTGAAAAAAAAAAGGCTATGAAAAATTTAGGTTTTACTGAGGAAAAAATACTCTCACATAATAGCTCTATCATTTCAAGGTCTGCAAGGCAGACACTACCCTAGCACACCACCACATCTCTGTTATTATGACTTGCCCCTATCATTCTACTACCTGAGTGATGTCAGTGTAAATTCAGGCACCATTAGTAAATTTTTGACCAAACATATACACAGCACTGACAAAGGAGTAAACAACCCTTCAGCTTACCAGTATATGTAAAAAAGACACTGACAAAATGGAAAATAATAATTTTTTATGATAAATTAATCCTATTGTTTCCTCATTGCCCCGGAAAAGCGAAAAGCTAGACACTATTTACTCATCAATCCTTTATTCTTGTTTTAAGGATTCCTTTTACTGCAATCCAACACTGTTTACTTTGTAAGTAAGAAAATGGTAAAACTAAGTAGTCAGGAAGAATCCTCAATGCCTGTGTCCCTTGCTGTCCCTCTCCCTGCGCTTCAGCTCCTCCTTGTAGCAGTAGGAACAGTAATTGTCAGTCTCAGGACGACCGTAAAAGGAGCAGTTCTCCTTCTTACAGCGGTTCTGCTGGATGGAGTAGATCGGGCAAACTGTGCTTCTGCCTTGGTTTTTGTCGTTGTTGAGCCAGGTCTGGGGAGCGTCCTCGTCAGCAAACTCCAGGCAGTCTCTGATGTCCCCGGTGCCGAAGCCGTTCGTGTAGGTCTGGGACTTGTGCTCGGCGGGCAGGGCGAAGCTCAGCGACTCCACCGTGTTCACCGTGCGGATCCCGGGCAGCCGGGCCGGGCTGTAGCTCTGGGAGGACAGGGACCTGTTCTGCTGGGGGTAGGTGGCACAGGTCTTCAGGGTGCCCACCACTGGCTTGTAGGTGTCGTCTTGGAAGCTCGATGGCTTGGAGTTGACGTCATGCAGATGGATGACACTCTGCCTTTGGACAGGGGGGGTATGGCTGTAGTGGGCAGATACGGGGATGGGGCCGCTCCTCTTGGCACCGCTGCTGGGGGAGGAGAACGGCCCTGGGGTGGGGCTAGTGCGATCTTTGAACTTTAAAACCAGCTGGGTCATATGGCTTTGAGGTAAGACGGGTGATGCCCTATCCTGAGGAGATGTTTCCAGTTTTTCTTTTGAATACGCTTCTGGCTCCAGTTTCCTGCTAGATGAGCCATTCAGTGCGGCCTTCTTCTCAGCTTCCTTTCTTTTCTGTTCCTGCTCCGCGTTGAAACGCTCCTGGGCGCTGGTCAGGTAGTAACCTATCATCTCCTCGTGGAACTGATGCCTGTGACTGGTCAAAAGCAGGCCAGCGAAAATGAACTTGCGCTCGCCCTGCATGGCAGCTCTCAGGATGTTCAGGCTGAGTTTCACGTCAGTGCTGTACTTCCAGGCGTCAGCCTGCTTGTCAGAGCAGGGCTTGGCGCTGCCCTTGTCCGTGGGGGAGCTGCTGGCTCTGTCCGTGGGAGATGGGGTGGTCTTCTCGGACGGGGACGTGCTCGCAGACTGCCCCGACTCCTCCTTGCTCCCCTTCCGAGACTTTGACTTCTTCTCTTTGACCTTCTCCACCGTGTCCCCGTTTTTTCCATTCCCTGAATTGGCTCTGCTCATTTTGCCGTGCACCAGCCCTCCAAGGCCACCCATGTTCTTTTTCAGTTTAATTCCCAGGGTTTTACTGAGGCTTCCTATTTTATTGGCAACTGAATCCGTCCTGGTTTTGTCTTTATCTTTCCTTTGTTTGTCCTTTTCTTTTTCTTTACTGTTTTTGCCATTATTGCCATTGGAATTACTGCAGATGGAATCTCGGTCCGAGTCCATTGAGTCAGCCAGAGACTGCACATCTTCCCCAGCTGAAGCTGTAGGGGATTCTGGTTGAGCCAAAGGGGCCTGCTATGGAAAAGTAATTATAATTAGATACAGAAAAATCGGTTTTATGCAGGAACTGGTGCAAAAAGACCCCCCAAATTCAATACGTATTTTGACATTGATTATAAATATATTTTTTAATTTACACACTGACGTTTTCAGCTGGTTTCTTCACCAAGGAAAGCTTATTTTGCTGTGCTTACTCTGTATCTTCCTTCTTCCTACAGCCGGATTTGGCTCCTTGCGAGCACATTTGTAGCGCAGGGTCGGTCACGGGGGCTCTGTGACAGTGGGTGAGCCACGGGAGGAGCTGTGGCACAGCCTCCCTGGGGAGCAGAGACCTGCACAGGCCTGGCCACTCCACAGGGAGCACCTCCAGGGGCTGTCCCCGAGCCAGCAGGGAAAGGCACTGGTGACATTGCCACGGAAGGGAAATGAGGAGCTGCTGAAAGCTGTGAGGGGGATACAGCACACAAACCTGCATGCAGCAAGATTTCAAAATCCATTATGTTCAAAACCCAACTCATTTAAACTGACTTTTTCATTGCTCGGGTCTCTGGTGCACGAAAATCAACAGTCCTAGAGCTAAACATCTCACCTGGAATATCACACAGTAACCTTCAGCAAGGAGGCTGAGGAATACAATGATGGGCATTCATGCTTACTGGAAATGCAGTGCAGATAAAACTGGTGTCACAAATCCAAGTTCCACTTTATATTTTAGGTAACATGATAAAGCATCTTTCTTGAAAATGCAATAACATGGATCCTAGGCTATTTAAAACAGGACTCTGTCCATTAACTCCTGCAAAACTGAAGTCTTGCTTTCAGGCACCACGAAGCCAAAATCTGCTAGAGATAAATAGGGAACACTTAACTACCCACAAGGACTCAGAGGGGGTAAGCTGTAGAAGTTTATACCTGTGGTATAGAAATACCTGCCTGCTTCTTGTCCCTGGATACTTCCATGTGCTCTGTCTCTCAGGGATGCCTGAGCTCCCAGCTGGGAGCAGAGGTGACAGTGCTGCACTGGCCTGACCATCACAGTGCCAGCAGGGACAGGTAACTCAGGTTCCACAGGTTTCAGACTCACCACTTAAAAATGCAGGACCATTTTGCCTCTCCTTTTTCTCATGTGGTAGCTACTACTGTTGAAACTGCAGAAAAATGGATTTTCCCCCTCTTGCAGGTTGCTAAATGCTCTCTCCTTTGGTGTTCTGTCCATGCCCCATCTGTGTAGGGCTGCCTAAATCACCTCCATGCTCTCCTGAAACCTTCAGCCTCCAGAGTAACCCCTCCATCTATTCCATGCACTTTGCAGAGAAATTTGCAGCTGAGTAGGTGCCAGCTGAGCATGATTTTAAAATAGCTCTCTGAAAGAGCCAGGCTCCAGTTCAGAGCCAGTCTGTGGCCTTTGGTCAGCCACTCCAAACTGGGTATTCTCAGAAAGGACTTGGGATTGGTGACTGAACAGTGGCACTAGGAGATCAAGCCAAACTTCTGAAAAAACAACGGTGAGAAAAGGTTTCTTTAAACTGCCCAGACTACTGAAAAATGTAACAGAAAGATTAAGCTAGAAAATACATTTCAGCAAAAAAAATATACAAGCAACTGTGTTATTAAAGCAAATAACCAGATAAATCCATAAGCTTGACTGCGGTGTCAGTGAGCCATGAGTGACTTGTCCCTGCTGCTGGGACACTGAGGTGTTTCCAGGCAGCCTTCCCTACCCAGCACCCTCCCATGCCTCGTGTCCCTGGACACCAGGAGTTTGTTTGGAGCGAGGGGGTTGACCTTACCCGTGTCTCGGACGGGATGCGTATCCACGTTACATTCATGTAGCTGTGCAGAAGGTTAAGCTTTGCCTCAAGAGACAAAATCAAACTAAAGATGAAAAAAAGAGAGGAACAAAGAGTCAAAAAGGCTGAAAGAAAAAGCAATACTTCCTAACAGGGAGAGGTGTAACAGCAGCCTGAACTGTGACCATCAGCGGGAGACCCACCCATGGCTCAGCCAGAGAACAAGAACAAAGCCCTGGCAGCTCTCCCAGTACTCCAACCAGAGACAGCTCAAGACATTTTACTGCTTAACACTGAAGTTACAGAAAGGTCTTACTTGGCCAGTCTGGTGTTATCATTGTCATCTTTTCCCCACTCCCAGTCTTTCCCAGGATCGACCGCAAAGTGCAAAGGCAGTAACTTGTGTTCAGAGTCAGTCAGGGGAATCACGGCTGAAGCAGAGAAGAAACAAGGATTGGGGTGGGGGGAACAAAAATGACAAAAAGAAGAGAAGACTCAGCTGTGAAAAGCAGGATTGCTGCTTCAGGAAGGGCAGGATTTGAGTGTGTGGCAGAACTGTCTCATCAGAGCACCACAAATGATTTATACCGGGCTCCATCTCCCTGTCCTCATGTGTGCAACAGAGGAGAGGGGGAGGTTAATACCATGACTGCTCCCAGAGTGAACCAGAGTCACCTGTGGAGGAGGGGACACCTCTGAAAGAACAACGTGGCCATTTTGTAATGCACAATAAACATTTCCTGGAGACAGAGTCATTAGAGTACCAGAAAGCAGTAACAAGTTGCAATATTCCTGCCTGGCTCTCAGAATCACAGATCCACATACTTGTTAATTATTTTGCCTTTTCAGTTTAGTACCTTTTTGTTTTGCACTGTCAAAGAAATAAAAACGCATTGGTATCAGCAGTAAGAAACAGAGGAAAAGGCAGTTACAGCGATTTTGGACTCAAACTGTGAATTAACGTAATTGAAGACCATAGATCAACATATATGTGGGTCAAGAGGTCAGTGTGAAGCCTGTCTTGAGTGTAGTGAAAAGAGCATAACTGCTGTTATATCCCAGCACTGCATTTTGGCTCTTCTGGTCTTTCCCATCTCTGCCTTCTGACACCTCTCTTAATGACTCTGTTTTATATTCTGCATGCAGGCACCACACTCTGGTGTTAGAGTGTCTATCATTCATCACCACCAGCAAGAAAGTAAGGGAAAAACAGTCAGCTTTAACTACACCCACCAATTTGCTTCCGTTTCATCAGGAAAAAAAGGGGAAAACTGTTGAGGACCTGGTAGGATCCTCAGCATGGTGCAGGTCACTGCTGCTCCTCTGCCAACCAATCAAGGAATTTAATTTTCTACACTAAACCCTTAAAGACTTCACCCAGGGTCTGTGTTCTCCAGCCCCCTGGTCTGTCCCGAGGCAACTTAGAAAAGAGCAGCACTGAAAATTCACTACACACCAGTTCACTCCTGGCAGCACCCGACCTTACAGGTACAGAGAACTGGGACTGTGATCCTAGGGCAGGTGATGTTGGAAAGCCTGGACCAAAGAACTGCCAGAGAGTTGGAGCAGTCTCTTTGGGATGGAAACTTCAAAAAGTAAACATGAATTTCTTTTCTAAGGGCAGCTTGAAACTAACTTATTTTCACATAGTTCAGTAATAATAATTCTTTATGAACAAATTTTAAAGGAGTTCTTTTTAAAGTTCACCATTATTACTGATACTGAAAATACACATTAAAAATGCTTAGTGACACTCAAGTTTATGAAAATACAAAATTAAGTACAAAACTAAGCTTAGAGCTGACTGTAGCACGTCACTGTTTTCTGAACTACTGTGCACATTCTGTGTCTCTGTCTTCACACAAACAACTGTTACTGCGAGTTGAGTGGTGACATTCTAAGGTACAGTCTGAGGCTGGTAGGAAGCACTGCTCTCTTTGGGCAAAATACATCTGCTAAAGAAAGGGAGCTTTAAAATTGTGTCTTCACTGCAAGAGATTTCCTCTCTCAGGGAACTCTGACAGCCACAGTTTCCTACAGGATTCCCCACGTTCCAAGCAGAAAAGTATTCTTATATCATGACTGCAAGCAGGATTCCTCACATTAATCTCTAAAGCAAAGCCCCCAGACTGCAGCACCACCCAGAGGCCCAGCTACATCAGAGGTGCAGCTTTGGTGCAGTTACACTGGGCTGGAACCACACAGCTCAAAGCACAGCCTGCAAGCCCCAACACACGGGATGTTCGACCAGCAGTTCATCACACAGTGTAACACACAGTGAGGATTTTCCTGCCATTCCTCAGCTGGGTGTGCTCCTTCTGTGCTGTGAAGGAAGTCCCAGTGTTTGTCAGCACTCATCCTCACGCCTCCAGTGTCACTATTCATCCTATAATGCTGGTAAAATAAAGTGGTGAGCCCCAGACTGACACGCTGTGTCCCAACCCAGCGCCACTGCTCCCGCACCCGGGACTGCACTCGGACAGAGCACGGCACTGGGAAGCTCCAGGATCAAGGAAGCAGCCTTAGAGGCAGCTGACAGCCAGGCTGTGCTTCCATGAGCAAAGATACAAAACATCTGCATCAACAGAGCCTGCGTGGATATAAAAATATTTATAGGTTTTTAATCAGACACTGGATTTCAAAATGACAGGCCCTCTGGCAACCAGCAGAACGCCAGCTGTGTGCTGGTAAAAAGAAGACATGTCAAAATGTGGTTTAAATCCTCTCCAGACAAGAGGATCTTAATGTGTTTTCTCTTTATATAAATTTATAGGAGCATTTTAATTATCTGATACAGGACTCTGTGACAAAACAGGACTTCAGGCATTCACATCAGTATTTGTTTGACCACACATATCCTCAAATACAGACATGTTGCCTCCTCCCCAAGAGGGCTGAGCAGCAGCTTAAACAGGTGTGACTGCACATGCAGGAGTTCAGACAGCTCCAGAGGCTGCTCCTGGTTACACAGAGCACAATTACAAATGGCTGGGCTCACCGAGAGGCTCCTTTTAGGAAGGTGTAGCTCTGAGCTCTCAGCTGCATTCTGACAGTTCCAGATGTTTGATTTTGAACCTGTGCCACTGTCACTGGCACATTTAACAGCTGTGGCTCTGCCCCCGTGTGCCAGGGCATCGCTCTGCTCACAAGGTACAAACCAGCACTGCTGGAGCATCCTTGTGCCAACCTCCTTCCTGCCCAGCAGGGAGAACAACAGCAATGCTGTGGCTGCTGTGGTCTCCAACAGCAACCAGCCAGGCAGCTGCAAGCTAAAGCATTCCCTTCATCCCAGAGTAAATGCCAAATGCTCTCTGCTGCTCCACAGAACTGGAGCCTGTGTATTCCAGGCCCTGCAGTAAGACATGTACAACTGGGTCATACAAAACCAAGACTACTTTGATTCATTGACCCTTGCTATTAACCTGGACAAACTTATACATGAAACCCAGTATTTAATGTTTCTGATGCTGTGCTGGGTATTTGGTAAGGTTTTCTCTCCCAGCACCTTTCCTGTGGGAATACAGGTGTAGGAAAATCCTACAGAAAGACAGTTTATAACCACAAGAATGACATTTAACATTATTGCTAGCACTTGTGGGAGAAATCAAATATATAACCTCATTATCAAACCCAGGATCTTGCAGTGTGTGACTAACAGGAATATATGGCTGGTAAGATGAGAGTTATGTTTCAGTAGGGGACACCTACTGAAGGTGTCACACTGAGGAGCAGATCCTGAGAGGCAGGGTCAGAGCAGCTGAACAGCAGTGTCCCCACTGCCTTTGGTCAATCCCATCCCTTGGAGGACACAACAACAGCCCAAGGTTTGGTGGAGGGCAGTTCCCCTGACTGCAGTTACTGCAGAGAGAGTTCAGCTCTGTGTATCCAGTTATTTACACAGAGGCTCTGTAAGACCTGTGATCATGAAGCCTTGGATGAAGGCAGATAGATGTGCCTGAGATAAATGAGGCTTCTGTCAGTCTGCTGATATCATTCTGATCCCAATTGTTAGAAAGGAAGAAATGGATGCTGGCTGCTCCACCAGACAACCTTACAGTGTATCAGCAGCAACCATCAACAGTGAGACCATGTCTTTAAAGGCTCTCCAAAACTCCAGCTTCATTCATATCACGTTTTTGCATTAAAATGGGATAGATTTACTTTTCAGACTTTCATTTCTCAGAAGGTGTTTCACATCATTCCTTGGGGTTTTCCTGTGTGAAAAGCCTTTTCCTAAGGGCTGTTCTTCTGCTGCCTGAGGGCTGGAAGGCAGCTCCAATATCCCAGCACATAATGCCAAGGCCAGAGATACTGCCAAGCACCTGCCTACAAATCCCTGAAACAGTTCTGTGCCAGTGGAGGCTGAATAGCTGGCCTGGCCTGATTTTTCCCACTGAATATCTGATATCTGGATCAACCTTCTTCTCCATTTCAGTCTTATGATTCAGTCTCCTCTTGACCAGCACAAGGCTGCCAATACCACAGGCAGCCCCTGGTGTAGTTTCCCATCCCACACCACCTCATGTAGAAGCTCTCTGCTCCTCCCAAGAGGATGACAAACCAGAGGTCAGATTCTTGTGTGGAGATGCTACAGCAAAATCTGCTGTTCAAGAGCTCCCTCTTTCCTCCTTTTCATCATTCCAGTGAACACCTTCCTCTCTGCTCTGCAGAGCTGCAGCACTGCTGACTGTCTCAAGCATGGGCAATGCCTGACACATCCAAAGTCAGGGGAAATGCACATAGGGTTAGGGAATCAAATGATGGACATTTAGGTGCCTCTGGACCTCCCTAGGAAGGAGGATGGAATGACATTCCCTCAGGAGATCTCAACAACACTTGACGGCTGTATGCATTCATGAGGGATTTAAAACACCTTGGAAGTATCATCAGGAAAAAATAAAACACTCATGACTAAAAGCAAAACTGCCTTGAATTTTTCTAAAGCCTCATCATGTTTTTGGCAAAACACTTTTCCCTTCCCCACAGAAGGAACAAAGACAGATAGGAGTTCATCTCACAGCTTTCTATTATTAAGCAAACAGCTCTAGCAAATAAGGGCACTCCTAGCCAGCTCCTGGACTACAAATGCAAGAATAGATCCAGTCCTGAAGCTCTTGTCACTCCCAATCCCATATCCAGGAAGCTCCAACTTGACACAGAAGTATCTGGTCAGTCTTTCTGTTCCAAAGCAGAACAGAAGACAGCAAGGTAAAAACACTTCACCTAAATGTTTTTAAATGAGAAGAATGCATTTAGCAAACTAGAAAATATATTTTTTTTTCCATTACATGAGTTTTTAACAGTAATCTGACTCCCACTTCAGCTTCTAAACACTTTACTAACCCAAACTACCTCAAGAACCCAGAGGCACAGTAGGTAACTATGGTTGTACCTGTACCTTTATGTACATGTGTGGAACTGCCTGTCAGAAAATGTGTGAGTGCCAAAGACAGGCAGTGACAGCACAGGGATTAGGACTGTGAGTTCTTGGCTCCCAGGCTTGTGATTAGACTACTCCTAAGCAATAAAATTCAGTGAACAGTTTCCTGTGTGAGAGCTAAATACACCTACAGGTAGATGAAGGTACTTCGTGCATTGTATTCACCATCTATCCTGGTGTTGCTGTGTTTAGAGCATACCTTGTTCTCTCTGTTGGTCTTTTTGTTCCATGGAAACCAGAGCTGAGAAATGGGCCTGATCATAGGCCAGCACAAGAGGTGAGCAGTGGCACCTGTTCGGGAGAACTTCCAGGGGCAAATAAATCCCTCCAAACGGTATCGGCGCAAAGGCTGCGAAGGGAAAGGAGACCTTTCAGCTGTGTCAAAGAACAGACAACAACTGTGCTGCAAGGTTTGCAGAGCTCCAGGAGAGCAGACTGAAGCACAGTAATCAGCGCAGGAAACAAGTCATAACAGGTAAAATTTAACTATAAAAATGTCAGTACATACACTACAAACAATAATGAAAACCTTCTGCTCTTTCATAATTTTTCCTTGCTTTAGTTGTTTAGTAGTAAAGTTATTAAGGTCCTATAACAAAATCTTGATGACTCTCACACAGGTATGCAGATTTGTACCTTCCTGTAACACTTCTAAGGAGAAGGGTATTTTCTAATAATTATCAGTAAATACACTCAGTTCTTTTGGCAACAGGCCCTGCTCGTGCCTTACACTGAAGAGTTGTGGGAGAAGCTTTACAAACATGTTTGTAGCCCACACGTTTCATCACACACATAATGTATCTGTGAATGTGTATAGCTATGTATGCATGATAATGTTAAGGAAAGACTCAAACAATCCTACCAGTAGATAAATGGGATGCTCCACCTGTAGGGGAAAAATCTTGCTTTGGAAGATTCTACACTTGTTTCTGTATGTAATTATGGGAAGAGCGAGTTTGGGCAGGAAAATTCTCTCAATGTGTTTGCTTCTGACCAATTATTTTTCCTTTTGTTAAAAAATTACGAATCTTTATCGCTGAAATATTTCCAAAGTGAGTTCTCCTTTTGAACCCACGCTGGCTGTGACCAGTGGCTGCATTGTCATTCAGGGGTTCTTCCAAAACTCACAGAATCATCTACAGCCATTACTTGTAGTTCATAATTTGAATGGAAACTGAAGCTAGCCAGCATTTTCCTGGGGCAGTAAATTTCTGTAAACTCCATCACCTGTTTAATGTCTTCCTTTAATCAACCAAACGTGCCCCTTTAATTAAGCAACACACTATCATGAACTAGTATTCTATTAGTTCATTGTAGAAAGTGAGTGAGATGAATTTAATCCTTCAAGTCCTGCTCAGACAGTGTCCAGCTGGCTTCAACATTTGTGTGCTCACATGTGCAAACTGAATAAAACATTCTGGAAACTTCTGAATGATAAACTGCAAGGAAGTCATTAAAAACAAAAATCCAAGACATACACATTCAAAATTCAATCTAATCAAAAGTCAGATTAGATTGATTTCTGCAGGGTTTTAAGGGACACCAAAATAACACAGCAAAATCAGAACCTTGTTAACCTAGACCAATCAGAAATGCATTGTGTAATCTCGTGGTTATTAAGTTAACAGCCAATATGTAGGATAAGCAGATTTTCATCAGGACTTTCATGATTATCCTGTAGTTTTTACTTTTATCTAACAGAAATGGACTGAGCATCGTTCTGTGCTTTCAGAAAAAGGCAGCAGCTCTGCCATAAACACCCCAGTAGGTGCCAGCTGGGTGTTTTTTTGTGAGTGGCAGTTCAGGACTGGTTCCATCTCCCCAGGAGCAGAGATCCCCAGCAGAGCTCTTACCTTCCCCCCCTGAGTCTCGCAGCATCGTGTCTGCTACCACAACAATGGGTCTTCTCAAAATGTGGGCTAAGACAAACACGTGGAACTCTTCCAGGCTCTCATACACGGGGTCTTCTGCATTATCCACTCTGGAAGACACAGCAGTGAGACTGTTTTGAGCCACCTTGAGCCAAGGACTGAAACTTCAGTGAGTCAGCACATCCCAGCTGTTCATCCTTCATCATTACATCCCCCTCTTCTGAAACACATATTCCAATGACTGAAATAGGTACCATAAGAAATAGGGAAGGAAAATGCAGTTTTGGAAATAAAACAATAGCAACAGAGAAGATGTTTTTCACTTGCAGAGTCCATGCTAGTTCAGTAGTCAGCAAAATTAATTCCTTCCTGATATTGTTTGGTAGCCTAGCAGGAATAGAAAAGGTGATTCTTAGCCAAGCTGTTGGAGTAAATCTACTTTTGTCACAAAAATCATAATTTCACGTGACACCCTTGGCACACAGACCCTACAGTGTCCTTCTAGTTCAGGTGAGTTTACCTGGGCAATGTAAGGAACACTGATACCAACTTCAGCAGGAGGAATTTAACTGACTAAGTTGTCAGCTTTCTTTTTTCGATTGTTACCAAAAGTTTTCTTCTTTAAGCTGGGGAGGGGGTACCTGTGTAAGGAACTGGAGGTTCATTGTCCTGTTAGTTTTTCCAGTGAGCTGAATTGCACCTGCTTTCAGGGAGGCTGATGCAGGAGGCTGCAGGAGGCTGATGATTCACTGATCAAGCAGTGAGACACCTCTCCTTCCCCATATCCCTCCTCCCATTACCCAAACTCATCAGGAAATTTTCCCTGATGTTCAAACTGCATTCCTCATTTGGTAATTTCTTCCCATATTCCTCACTGAACTCTTCTCCATGCTTGGCTGTGACAGCTTTTCAGCATTTGCAGTCCATTATGTCGCACTCAGAGCAATTTTTTAGCCAAAGGGCAGTCAGGAGATTCATGTTATTGGCAAGACAATGTGCCAGAAAGATTTCCAGCTATTTTCTCAATTAGTATTTCCTATCAGTCCTAATATTTTTTTTTCCAAATCCTCTAATCATTCCTCATCTCCCAGCTGATGAGGTTTCTAGAATGGAAAGGCACATTCCAGCTGTCTCAGAAGGATCTTTATCCTTTGCTCAGCTGCTGCCACGCCCAACTGCACAGACTCCAAAATTCCACTGGGTGTTTCTGCTCTTCAGTGTCACATCAAGTTGCTTCATTCACTGCCTGTGACCAAACTGCCCCATTTCCAACCCTCCTGTTGTATTACACATCCTGTCCCATCCCTCCTTGGCCCAGGAGCAGTGGCTGGGGTTGTGATGGAGCTCTGGAGGTCCCTGGTCCAAGCCCTGCTCCAGCAGAGCCACCCAGAGCCGTGTCCAGACAGTGCCCTCCCAGCCTCTCTGGGAAACCTTCCCAGTGCCCAGTTCTGTATCACCAGTGCCAGGAATTCCTGTGGGCTCTTCCTGTTTTGTATTTATTTCAGTGGCACTGCTGAGGATTCAGTATGAATTTTGCTAAAGATTAATGAGAATGAAAAAATCATCATTAACAAGTGTCCATGGCAACCTACCACATCCTTTGATCCACTTATCATTCCACTTTTTTTCATGGATCTTTATTTATGCTAGCTCCATGGCCACGAAAATTGTGGACAAAATAATTTTGTCAATGTAACATGAAAGCAAAGAAAATTTAGGAAACTGAAATTAATTCCTCTGTTCATTTTAAGCTAACTTTAAATAATGAAATCCACTTACAGATCTGCATTGCACAATCCTGCTCCACCAGAGCACTCTAAATAATTTATCTTGATTGTAAGAGCACATTAACAGAAAAAAAAAACCAAGCAGATAAAAATAAAAATCTCAGTCTGACCTAGAGGACCAAACACAGTGGATACCTACTGAGCACTCCAGAGAAACTCTCTCCCTTATGGAAAATCTAATTTGTACTGCAGGCAGCAAAGCAAGAAAACCTTTTTTCAACAAGCTGGACTGGGAAAGTCACCTACCCTGCAGTTCCACCTGGCTGTTCCTCTGCTGCCTGGAAACTCTGAGAAAGGTCTGTTTTCCTGTCCTTGGATTTCCTTCTAAACAGCTCCCTATGGTCACCTTGCTCTTCTCCCCCATCCAGAGCCTCCAGATTCCCAGTGAGTCCAACAGACTCAAAATGGCTATTCCAGTTTAGGCTGAGTTTTGGGATTCATGCATTGCTAGAGAGCAATGCCCCAGGCAGTGAGAGTGGCAAGTGTCAAGTTCTCCTGCCTGGAGGTTTGTTAGAAACATGAGATCAGAATGACATCTGAGTTTACATCCTCTATGTGCCACCATTTCATTTCTGACATCTTCTTTTCCTGCTTATCAATCCCCAAATAAAAAGCCCCATAAAGCACAGCTGCAGCTCCACAGCAAGTCCAAATTCCCACTGCAGGTGGAGGAACCTCCCCTTTGGTTTCCTTATGGGTGTTCAGCAATGAGCTTCACCTCAGCCCCACAAAATGGCACAGTCCTGGGACAGCCTTTCCCTCTTCAGGAAAAGAAAAGGTATTTTGCATTGACTAAAGGACACACAGAATGTGAATGCTTTGAGTCCCACACCTGAATCACCAGGCACTTTGAATATTTCCAGGCTGTGCTGGGCTTCAGGACAAGTTACATGAACTGCAAATAGGCCAGATGAAAAGATGTGCCAGCCATACAAACCTCAGCTAATAATCCAAAGATACACAGTTATAATGAACCATTTTCTACCTGCACCCTTTAATTGATGCATATACTGGACAGTTTAAAAGAAATATTACTCCTGTAACAGACACCAGATCAAATAGAAATAATTTTAAAGGCATTTCTTTGTTAAATGGTCTAAACTAAATTCTCTGTAAGATGAGGGTCTTGGATGGCTTCAGTAGTTGTGTATGAAGAGCTGCACGTTCTCAATACCTCACCCAGTCCAAAACCTGAAAGAACACCTGCATCTGAGAGGTATTTCCTGTCGAAATGTTGGGGGTTTCTGCCTTAAATAAAACCCTAACGACACACGGAAGGATTACAGCACTGTCCTCTCCCTTCCTCCCCATTTAAAATCCCTTCATTCTATTATAAGGTCAGCAGCACAGACAGGCTACAGGTGACAGTTAATGCTTCCCAAACCTGCCCCAGCTGAGCCCACGACACAGCAGCCAGGTTTGCATCGAGGGAGTGACAGCAGTGCCATTCACTGCAGCACTGCACAGGCTCTGACTGCCACGAGTCTGCACAGGGAAGGAAGGGGCTGGAATTTTCTCTGGAGCAGGATGGCAACAGTTAATCCTCAACACAAAACAGGGTACAAGACATTTTTCCCTTTTTCAAAGCAGTTGCTTCAGTTCAGTACCCCTGGTTTTGCTGGTAAATGGAGATAAATGAAGCAATTACGTTAATCTGGAATTCATTTTTTACATTTACAGAAATATGTGCAAATCTGTTTCAAAACAAGGATCTGCTTCATAATGAATTGTTTGGTCTGCTTTAGTGCTTGGAGGATTTTACAGGCTGGAAATGAGAACTTATGAACCAGGTTTTCCTGTGTTCCCTTTATCTTTCTTTCCAACTTCCCAGCCTCAGACAGAGAATGCTCTCAAAGGAGGGATCTTGGGAGATTTAGTGACAATTGGTGTCCTCTGCACGTAGTTCACTCTGAAAAATAACTAAAAGGAGCTTGCAGGTGAAGGAGGAAGCACAATTCCAGACTCAGCTTTGTCACTGAATTCTTTTGAAGAAGATACAACTTCTGATGCTTTAGCTAATTCTGACACCAAAGGAAAATTCATCTCATCTACAGTTCAAAGACTGATGGCCAAGCTTTCTTAATATAGCACCTAACAAGAAGACATAATATAACCCCCCTCTCAAAAATACTATTTTGATATTCCTTTTCCTTATCAAAGGCCCTACTTTGAACACGAGATCATTAAACCGAGAAGGTAATTCATTCTGCCACATTCAATCTGTCTTTGAAATGAATGTAAAGAGAAATACATATTCACATGTTTAATGGGCTGTTTCTTGCCTGATTCCTCTTTCGGTGTTCAAAGGAAAAATTAACTGTTGCCTATTTTTACTTACTTTATTTTGATTTGCAAAAAAGATAAATGCAAGCCATGATGAGAACATCAAACCCAACTTGAATTAATTCTTTATGTAGTAGGACTACCCCCTGTGTAAGCACCTGGGAACTGAAGGTAGAGATGGTCCATGCCTGGCAAATGCAACATTGGAGGGCATCTCTGACTGGCAGATACGATGTATGTGAGACACACAGAATGAAACAGGTGGAATAAGGTCAGAGAAACTGGGGCTGAATGACCAAATTGATACAAATACCAACTGGACTGCATTAGAACACTGAACTGTAGCAACAGGAAAAGACCTACAAATACAGGAAACAAAACAGAGACTAAAATGAAAATAAACCTCTTTTTTAGCTTCAAAACAGAAGAAAATGAGCTGACATTATGGCTGACAGTTTTCTAAGCAATGTCCTCCTGCATTCGTAGAATTACCTGTCTTTAACATAATAGAGTCAAAAGGAAAATATCTTTTAGTGAAAGATTGTTAGTGCTAAACACTAGACAAAAACTAAAGCTTCTGCATTCCTAAGGTTGATCAATAATCCTACTGGTGGAAATAACTGCACTGAAAGTGAGGGATGGTTTATCCCATTATTATTTAAAGCAGATCCTATGTGTGGATCAGGGCTATTTCAATGTTGTAGATACTGTTTCATCCCAAACTTTTTCACAACTCTATTTCTGTATTTTTCCAACAGCTTCTCAACAGCTGAACTAAATGCAAGGCAGGAGACAGTACTGGGTTTTTGCCTGAGACCATCAGTTTGTCTGGTTCTGTTTATAATAAGCTAATTGACTGAAATGCTCCTAATTGAACACCACAGAAAGATTAAACATGCAGACTAAGCTGGTCTTCAGGAAAACACACTCCTCCCTTGCTTTGCTGTAGCACTGGGTAGTGACAGACACTGCAGAGTGCAATCAGAGCAGCTGCAATCAGCCTGCTCATGGAGTCGGTGGGGATGAACAGACAGGAAATTGGGCGAGAAAAGAATCAAATGGAGTTCTTAGAAACACAGACAAACCCTCTGCAGAACCTTCCTGCAACATCAAACTGTACTGGGATGACAGGGAATCAGTTTAATGTTAAATAAACAGTCCTTAAATACTCCTTGCAGTTGAGGGCACTGTGGATGTTACAGGGGTTTAACAGGAGCTTGAATGGTCAAAGGAAGTGCAACTGTTCCTACTGGTGCAATTGTAATTACCACAATTTTTAGTTAAGCTTTTTAATAACTGTACAAAGACTGAAGTAGCATACTGACTTTTCAGAATGGCTTCAAGAGACTACAAACTGTAACTCAATATTCTACCCATTCCACATCCAAATATTTAATCTTTTGCTCTAATACCGAAAATACGACTTTTTTTCCCTCCTGTATCTTTAGGGTTAACAGCATTTTAGAGTAGAAACATATTGCAGATTTTGTGTTTGAACTGCAAAGCAAAAAAGCACTGAAATAAATGTATGAATATGAGAAGATGGCTGTGATCAAGTACACAAGAGGTGATATCCAGGCACAAACTGTTGTCTTGCTATTAGAATGTTATTCTGTCATTTCATGTCCCAGTGAAAATACCCAAGCAGGGGCCACCTTCCTGCTGAGTGTTCCTCAAACAAAAAGCTCCACATCTTCAGTGAGAGGAGGAACTTCATCTTCTTGAAGCTAAATGAGACTGACAACATGCTTGTTCCAGGAACAAAGAAATTAGGACTGGTTAAATCTAGACTCTTGGATAGAAAGTGACCTCAAGTTAGTGTGGTAACTGCACAAGAAAATGTAATGAAAATGCTAAATATTACAAGGGGATATTCTGATAATTACATTCCAGCAGGCTAAAAAAAGCACAGCAGTGGAAAGGCAGTTTGATGGTGCTATAAACACCTTCATTCAGGGTTTTCCTGCTGAGAACAAACCCCCCAGGATCTGCTCTGCACTTACCCCCCACCGGTGCCTCCGTTCTTGCTGAAGTGTGTCCGGGGCTCACTCGACGCCAGCTTGAGCAGCTCGTTCCACTCCCGTTCCCACTCCTCCTCTGTGTACACCAGACCTGACTGAGGGGCAGAGGAAGAGCTTTATGTTGTGCTGGCACACAGGGGGAGCAGAGCTCTGCACCTCTGACTGCTCTGTGTCACACAGCTTCATTTCCTGCACCGTTAACAGTTCAGCACTGCTATTCAGGTGAAAGAACAGTAACTTATTAGAAAAAGATCTCAGCTAACTGCACAGTGGATTGTGTTTCCAGATGTGGTTCTGCTGAGTGTTCCACTCCTGAGAGCCAGTTATTCACACAGAATTCCTTGCAACCATGGTTCACGTGCTTTACTGCCCATTTCTGGAGGTTTGCTCCCTTCCCACTATCTGGAAGTACCGAATGCCCTCCTGGGCAGACAGGTGATGCTTCCTCCTCCTGTTCAAGAGTAAAAATGGTACAAAGTGCTTCTGTATCCCTGTTTTTCAGGTAGCCTGAAACAGCTGAGTCAGTCACAGCTCAGCTGTGTTCTCACTGACTGCTGCCAACAAAAAACAGATTACAAATATGCCACAAACATTACAGCATATTCACTTGTTTGCATCCAGGATTACTCCTGAAATGGGCTTTTCTAGCCACTGTTTAGGCACAGACATCTTCAGAAAATAACACGTTGAGGTACAGCTTTCAATCAACAGTCAACCCAAATCTACCAAATTATTTTAGTTAGGAAACATCCACTCAATATTTGGTTGCAGCTCTAAGAATCCCAACTCCCCATTCTGGGAAATCTTTCCCAAATGTGGGTTTCTCTCTCTTGTGGATTTCATGCACTCATTTTATAACACTTGTGACAGCTCAATTATACATTTGGGTTTGCAGCCCAAAATTTTCTAAAGGTTCTAAACTTATTTTAGACCTGTTTAGGGACAAAACTGTGCAGAGATTTGCCCACAAAGCTACAAACACGTTCTTATTCTGATATGCAAATCTGAAGTACAAGTATCTCTCCCTGTGCAGCATGGAAGGCCAAGGAATTTGATGGCAATGAAAAGTTGCACACCAAACTTCAGAAGAATGCTTTTAACCCTAAATGCTATTAACAAGACTGCCTTCAGGCCATACAGACCTCCTTATTCTGCTGGGTCTGTTGCCATCTCCACCTCCTTTTGAGTGCTTCCCTCTCAGCCCCGCTCCTCATCATCGTGTAGAGCGCTTTCCGCAGAACCAGGTCCCGGTCGTGGAATCCCCACATCCCTAAAGCAGCACGAGAGGACAGGCACTTTGAAACGAGCTGCAGTGAAACAGAAACAGCTGATACGTGATTTAACTTCTCCTCAGCAGGTAATTCTCTCCCCATTTTTAAGGTTTCCAAAAGAAGCAGTCAGTATAAATACCCTAATGAACAACAAGAGGGATTCCAACAAATTTTAAACTGTGATTAAGGGACGACTGAGGACTGGAGCTGTTTCACTGTTTGCTTGCAGGCAACTTCAACTTTGCTGCAAGCCACGGAACATTCAATGCACAGGTTGGTTTTGGCTGCAGTTGCCAACAGGGTCTGCAGGCACAGGAATGCTGATGAGCACTGCAGGCACTGCTGAGAATCACAGCTGACACCAACACCCCAAGGCCTCCAACTCTCACTCAGCATGAGGGCAGATCCCTCTGGCTTCAACACCCAAGTGAAGAGACGAGCGTTCAAGATGATAGAAAGTCTAAAAATATGACCAGCCACAGGCTTTTAATCTCACTTTGAGATAATAAAACATCTTTATGTAGCTGGGAATAGTACTCCTACAGCAAAAGAGAGCAGAGCTCTCCCCAAAACATGTGCCCAAGGACAGCCACGTTTCAGGGACCATGTTGTCAGCTGCTGTTTCCAGGTCCAGACACACCAAACATTAGCTGTAAATAACACAATTCCTCCTAATTAAAAATGAACAAAGATAAAAGGATCCTTGGGAACAGCAAAAACTCTTATTACTTCTTTCAACAAGAAGAGTCTCTTCAAAATATTAAAAATCCCAGTCTTTTAAAAAAGTCACCTTTTAGAGTTCTGCTGGTGGAAGATTTTAGCAACTGCAACAAAAAATAAGTTTCCTCATAATAGGTTAGGATAGAGAATGCATTTCAAAGGCTTTCAGATTTACAGGTTTCTACTGACTTGCAGACAAGCTTCAAAGATCTTGTATTAACAATTAATTAATCAATTGGAAATTATTTTAATTCACCCCAAATGCTGAAACTCTATAAGGAACTAACAGAGATAACAGCTTGATATTGCATTCTTGAAGACAGCAAGAGAATCATTTAACAAAATCAAGAGAATGACTGCAATTCCTTGTGCACAAAGAGGACACTCCTGCAAAAGCACCTGGAATTTGCCTGTTCCAGAGCTGTTAGGCTGGGAACAGGAAAATATAAGGAAAATGCAAATCACTGATGTTTATGATACACGGGGTTTAGCACTGTTCCGGTTATCCTTCTTCTATAACCTATTAAAACTTTTATTTTCCTGCTTTAGGCATGCTTGAGGGAAACCAAACTTCAGTAAAATTTGAAGAATATATTGCTCCAAACCAGACTTTTTACACAAGTCTTTGCATCTCCCGTGTTTCTGAGCTTGTGCTGGGGTGGAGAGAAGCAGGAGGAATTTGTGGCAGAGGGTTCCAGGTGCAGAGTGTCCCTTACCCAGAGAGGCAGCGTGCAGGAGGCAGTTCCCATCTCCCGTGGTGGCCAGGGGCAGCAGGCGTTTGCAGCTCGTGCACACCGTGGACCACCAGTTGAGTCGGCCTGGAGAGAGAGAGGCTGTTGAGGTGCTGGAGGGAGCAGGACGTGCTGTGTGCAGCAATCAGCACTTCTGATACAGAGAAAGCAAACAGCACTAACTGGAAAACATCTCTGGGAGAAGGAAGAGCAGATGAGCAGCAGTGCTGAGCAGAGCTGCTGCGCTCCCCAGGACTTTTGGCAGGTCTGTGGGCAATGCACGAGTGAATAATTGAATGAATAATGCAATAGGCAGCCTGTGGTGACTCCTCATCTTTGTTTGTCCTCTTTTGCAGACTTTTCCCCCTCCAATTTCTTGACTTGCAAGCTGAGAGGAAATAGTATCTACATATTTGTACAGTCTTGCACTTAAGGTTAAATCCCTCAAACAGAAGAAAGTTCAAACAACAAGGAAACTTCTCTCCATTAATAAGTTTTCATTACAAAATTATACTGAAGTTTATTTGTAACAACAGCTAATACATGTTATGGGAAAAATAGTATAACTATTTAATATGTACCCCAGTTACTTGTTCTGGATACTAAGAACTATGTAATTAAATTGCAATTAGTCAGTATGGAGTGAGAGTACTACACTGTAAAGATGCAGAGCAGATCAACAAGTAGGCCCATGTGGTAATCCTCATGATTTTAGCAGCTGGTTTGTAAATGAACATCACCTCAGACTAGGCTTACTTAGTTCTAAGTTAAACATGCATTCAAGAAGCTTAATTTAAAGCACTATTAGACAGCCTTTGGAAATAAAGAAGTTACCATTTTTAGCAACTCCTGTGTCTGAAATCACAACTTGCCACCTACATTTTGCAGACTGCTTTGGTGGAATCATATGCAGTAATCAGTTATACCAAGTGCTGCATAAAGCACAGTTAGAAGACCTAAAACCAGACAGACCTTAGGTAGGACTGAAGGCCATAATGAGTGGCATTGCTTTGCAGATTAACCAGCAGCTATTGGTAATAAATGTCAAAGTCTGCTGTTTAAGCATCTTTTGAGTAATGGAAGGTTTCTATAAAAGTGATCTTCCATCCAGTAAATTATGCGAAAAATGTTTGGGGCTTGGTTAACATCATAAAGCTTATGGCTTACTAAAAAATTAGCAGAAAGGGGTTTATTATGGGATTATAACAAAAAAGTGGTGCATTTTCGTTTTTCAAATCTAGTGCTTACAGTGGATCCCTTTAGGGAAACAACAGGAAAGTGGAACTTAAACGAAAACTGGGAACAGTTCTTCCTCAGGCTTTTTTCCGTCTGCTTTGATAATACAACACTTAGGGACAAACTAGACCCGTTTCTCACTCTTCCTCCCTCTGTTGGTCTCCTACTTCATCTTGCTTCTTACTTTCTCACAAAATTAATTGAATCTCAAAAAACACAATTTAAAGAAACTGATCTTATTTTACAGCAAAAATACTCTTGAGATTTAATATAGTCATATTCTAGTACATTAAAATTTGATCTCAGTGTTAGATCAAGATTAAAAGTCCTGGCCAGGTGCCCTGGTTTAGCCCCCAGCTGACATCTAAGCACCCCCAGGCACTCCCTGCTCCAGTGGGACAGGGACAGAATGGGAAGGGTAAAAGTGACAAAACTCATGGGTTAAGGTAAAACAGTTAAACAATAGAAATAAATAATAACAACAACAACAATAATAATAATAATAAATAAGGAAAAAAGAAAATAAAAATAGGAGAAAGAAATAACCCCCAAAACCCCACATGATGCAAATTAAAAACAATTGGTCACCACCAAGCAACCGACGCTCAGCCAGCTCCCAGCCAGAATTCCCCATCATTTACATGCTCAACATGATGCCATGTGCTCTGGAATATTCCTTAGGTCATCTGGGCTCAGCTCTCCCTGCTGTGTCCCCTCCCAGCTCTTTGAACCCCCCCAGCCTCCTCCCTGGCAGAGCACGAGAAGCTGAAAAGTCCTTGACTTGGAGCGAGCCCTGCTCAGCAACAACTGAAACACCAGCATGTTCCCAACATCATCCTCGTCCTGAATGCAGAACACAGAGATGCACCAGCAACTAGGAAGAAAATGAACTCTATCTCAGCCAAAATGGAATATGCATTAAGAGAAAACCAAGGAAGGTTAAAGATGGGAGAAAGTGTGACGTGTCATGTCACAGCTTGTAAAGTTTTACCTCAGATTGAGTGTGATTGTCTTTCAGCACAATTCACTGTGCCATTTACAGCCCTCTCTACACAGCCAAGCACACCAGCCTTAGGCCAAGTCCTCAAAAGCTCTGACAGAGCAGACACTGCACTGAGGAAACACCTCCATCTGTGCACAGTGGGACTCAAGGTCTGCTTTCCTGTGCTTGCTGAACGTGTGGCTAAAGCTGACACTGATGGCTTTTCTTTTACTTGTGGTAGGGCATTTTGGAGAGCTTTCCCATGTGGAATCTGGAGCATTTAATATTCATGCTGCGAGTTCTTCTTTATATGGAAATACTAAAACCAAGCCAGCTGATTATTTTCTTGTGACTGGTAAAAGCTTATTCAGAAATATGTTCGATAGTGGCAGAGTTAAAGGGAAGAAATAAACAGTGGTACAGTCTTAAGAGACAGCTTGTTACAAAAGCTCAGTTTCCCTAAGAAACCAGCCTTTCTTTCATTTCTCCAGTACATGGTATTTCCAGAAAGCCACCTCCCATCCATCCCCCAAGTGGAGCAAGTCACAAAATTACATTTTCAGCTTCCAAAGCACGTCTAATTCTGGACACCCCACAAAATTTTCAAACACCCCAAACACTCCCCGAGTCCCCTCTGGAGTCCACCAGCAGGAACTGCTCAGGGTGTGCACAGGACTGCCCAGCTGAGGCAGCACAGCAGATCACAGCCCACCCAGAACAGTCACACAGCAAGAGGTGCTGGAACCTCAGACCCTCTTGTCAGCAGGGCCACTTCTACACTTCCTGTGTTTCTGCATGACCAGCTTTGTTTATTCTTAGTTCTAGGTCTGTACAATAAATGTGCACTTGCAAGTATTGATGTGAAGAAAATTACAAGAACAGATTTTCTACGTGGGCTTATAATGCTCATTCAGTGTCTGCTGACATTTTAAATTGAAGCACTCACCAATACATTTTCAGTGCTTCAGAGAAAGGACCTCTTTGCAGGAGCTCTCTCTTTTAGCCTAGATGATGAAGTCAGCTTTGCAGCAGCATCTGCAAGGCTACTCCTATCTACTTCTGTCCTTGAAATGTCGAGCTGTGCACGTGGAAATAAGCAAAAGCGAGCAATGAAGTAAATGCTTCACTTTCAGGCTGGTGCACAAGGACCTGCACTCTGTCCCCAGCTACTGCCTGGAATGCAGATCAACAGCCCTGAAGTGAGGGCACAGAGCGGTGCCCAGGCCTGGTGGCTGCAGTCCTGAGCTCAGCTGTCTGCAGGGAGCTGCAGATCCACTGCCACGGCTTTGCTTCGTTAGTTCTTCCATAACCTGAGCCAGACTCTTTTCTCTGACGTTCCTGCATTTCTCCTACTCTGTGATGCAGCATTTGTCACTCAGACCTGATTTACACGAGCCTGGAAAATCAGGAAATGAATACAGCTCTGCTGCAATGACAGTGGCTGCTGTCCCAGCACCCTGCATGCACTGTGTGAAAATGTTCAAGATTCGGGGATAATAAAATGTTTCTACAACCTTAGAGGACACACCTTTTTCTTTAACAAGGCTTGATTCTTAACGGTTTGGAATCAAACATTTCCATAATTTTGATGGATTGTTTCTGAGGACATGGAACCCAGGCTTAACATCATATTGCTGTTTGCTTGTAGCTGTGAAAAATGCTTCTTAGAAAACACAAACATAAGCACAGACAGAAAAGTGTAGGAAAGCAATTCTTGGATGTTCATACACTGTACTTTTAACTTTTGTATTGAATTTTATTTCAGCACTGCACTAGAATTGCTTTTTCTTTTAATTAGAAACACTGTGTTAGACCCTGTTCTTCTGCCTGTTTTTTAAACTCATGAGTACAGCAGAAGTTTTCATAATATCTCCCTTTGTGTCAACCCACACATTAACAACACACAGGGGAGCACGTGTCTATAATGAAAATCAATTTGCTGCAGCATAATATTTAGAATTATAAAATCCCTTTCGCACAGACATCATTTCATATTATCAGTATCTCAAAATGTTCTCTGTCAAAACCCCACACCATCACTGCAAGAGCACACAGAGATCAGTCTGCCATGACTTACAAGCTGAGCTCATTCCAGTGCTGGCAATAATCAACTGCTGAGTTTATAAGATGGACAAAACCTCTAAATGTCTTTATGCATGTGGTGAATTCTGTCCTCTAAGAGGAATACTTGGAAAGCAATCATATAAGGAGTAGAGGGTGCACTGCAGCAGTGGGGAGTGAGTACATCATACTGCCTTTATTTGAGCCTTTCCTTTGTAAGGAAAGAAAGCAGAATTTTACAGTAAATCAGGAAGTTTGCTCCGAGTTTCTATACAGAGAGGATGTAACCTGAACATCCTTTCACCTACAGATGCAATGGCAGCAAGAGCTTAAGCACATAAAATACAGACCATAAAACCCTGACAGGCTTCTACAGACACCCAGACAACACGTGGGACAGGCTGTTGGTTTAATTCCACTCTCCCAGTCTGTACTCTGGGAGCAGTGAGCTGTTAGTTCCTAACAGTTTTTTATATCATTTATATCATTGACCAAACCACAGGCAAACTCTTGGTAGGAGACAACGTCTACTGGTAAGTGACTTTCCTATTAATTCACTCTCTTCATTTTGTACAACAATATGGCTAAAATAGGCAGGAAATAAAAGGAAACTGATATCTTTACATCTGAAACAAAGACAAAAGGTCGGTTTACATGAAACCTGACATGATTTTCTTAAGCAAACTGTTTGATCTGTTTAACTTACTTGAACTGCACAACTGTTTCCCAGGAAGTTCCAGATTATTTGAATGAAGTGCTCACAAGTAAAGTAAGTCTATGTAGGCTACAAGAATACCTGTGATCAAAACCACAGGCACTTCAAATGGCCAAGACATCCCTGCAGGCTCTGGGGATGAAGGGACTTTTCCAGTGTCAGTCAAGTTACTGCCCTAATTAATGTGAAGAAGAGCATAAATGATTTATTCTTATTTTCAGAGAGATTTGAGAGAGGAGTGCTACGAGGCAGCAAATTTGGTAGTTTCTGCAGCCCTATTTCAAGTTCAAAGCCAGCCAGCTCTGTATGAATTAGAGTTTGTCAGCTCTAAATTCACATATTCTCTGATTTTAAGGTCAGAAACCCACTGTGATCCTCTAGTTTATACTAGATCTAAAGGCTGTAATTCCACTGAAGCAGGTGGCTCAAAAATGGTTCTGTAGCAAGGGATCTTCTGAGAGCCCTATGGAATGGGGAGGGTTTGGCAGAGCTGTCAGAGGAAGAGCCATCCTGTTTTTCCCTGTCCTCCTTGGGTTAGCTAGCTCTTAGAGGAACTAGATATCTTTTCTAGATAGGTGACTGACAGTTTTCATACTTCATAGTTGCCTGGTGGCATTTCTGCCTTATTTTATACTTTCATTTCTCCCAGAAAAGAAGGCCTTCTGAACACTGTTTGGGTTTTTTTGGCTGTTTGCTAGTTTTGTTGTTTGTTTTTTCTTCCTTAGGTATTTACAGTTTGATGCTATTGTCTGTGTCTTTCTTTTCAGTTACCAAAGCCAAAAAAAGAGCACATGACAATACATTTTAAGTACTCAAAGTGACACCAGATTAGCAAAGGTCCTGCCTAAATCCTGCAATGCAGTGCCCTGACAAGGGGAGTTAATCAGTCTGAGCTCTCACAGTGTCACTGGGCACCAAGGTCTGAGGATGCACAACCAGATCAACCTACACAGCAATCCACACACACACAAAAAGCTACTGTCTATTCAACATCCCACAAGCAGCCATGAAATCTGGTTTTAGAACTCCTTTAGATCACCAGTTGGGCATTCCACACAGATGGGTTCATGTCATGGTTCATTAATACACCTGATGTTTGATAATGCACAGATAGTAATTTTAAATACATTTCTCCATATCCTTCAAAACTAGTTTAAAAGTTTAAACTACTAATAAATGTGAATTACTGTTAATATTAAATTTCCTCCCATTTTTTCTCATGGCAATACTGAAGTATTATTTTTAAAATGATGTCATTTCTCATTACAGAATAATAATTAAGACATAAAGTACATATCTAAAAACTCTTCTCTCAAGCTGCAATAGAACTTGAAGATGTTTCCTTAGACAGTCATGGCAATATAATTCCCCCATGAGAACTGGAAGTACCAACTCTCTCTGACCATCCAGACTCATGTCCTTCTCTATCACATGACTTCCCCATCAGTCTTCCCTTCCTTCCTCTCTCAGTTTCTTTGTTTTATTAACTAAATTTGACAGCTTTCTCTAGGACCCTTTAAAATTTAGACACAGAGGATTGGGCTGCGTGTCGTTCTGCAAAGAGCACGGTGTTTGCTTTTGCTCCCTGGCATTTATTCCCCATGCAGGGTGTGCAGGCTCCAGAGGTGAAGCATGACTAGAACTGTCAACCAAAAAGTGGGCCTGCCCAGCTGACAGCTGGAGTGTTCACCCACTGCTGACACCTGGAGTGTTCACCCACTGCTGACACCTGGAGTGTTCACCCACTGCTGACACCTGGAGTGTATTTACCCACCCACTGCTGACACCTGCAGTGTTCACCCACCCACTGCTGACACCTGCAGTGTTCACCCACCCACTGCTGACAGCTGCAGTGTTTGCTCACCCACCTGCTTGCTCCAAGGCCACCATCGTCGCCTGCTCGATCAGGTCGCGCTCAATGAAGCTCCTGAAGTCCTCACTGTACACACTGAGGTCTGGCAGTTGGAATGTGTAGATGGGCATCTCCAAAGGAAACTGCTCATTGCTGCAGTCATTTGCTACATGGGATCGAGCGAGGGAGACTATGGCTGAGCTGGCATGGGAAATACCTCTGGAAAGACGCTTTTCTGGGGAGAAAACAGATACTGCACCTGTAACACTGATGGAAGGCCAGGCAACAGCAAGTCTGGGGAATGAACATTCATTTCACCCAGGAACATCCCCCACTCTGCTTCCACAGCTCAGGCAGGGGTGGCTCTCTGGCCATCGAGTGCTCAGCTACCGAGCTGGCAGCCAAGTTATGTCAGTCCAGCCATCCAAAGGCAGATGTGCCCCACACCCCCTGCTGCACCCACTGACCCCCAAATGGGCATTTCAGTGTAGATTATATCCCACCGAGGCTGAAGGGACACGGTTTCATCCACTCCAGCGTGCTGCTCGTCCTCCCTTTCTGTGTTCAGTGCTTTTAAGGAGTCATAAGAATCCCTGCAGTTCCTTTTCTTCCCAGGGAGGTTGGCAATTTGAAAAAAGCTTTACTGAATCTCCTAAGTAGTGGTGCTATTTCCTGTTTAATAGGAGGGAAGAGCCAGCAGGAGAAGGGAAAACCTTCTGTTCCTTTTAATGACTGCATAGCAGCCATCACCAGGCCAGTGCTATTACCTCCCTACACGACAAGCTGTCAGACCTGTAGATTTATTTTGGTGCAAACTACAGTTCCTTGATAAATTAAAAATGCAATCCAACCGTCTCAGAGGGTGAGAGAGATGAAATAAAACCCATAAAAGGTCTGCAAACAAAAAAGCAAATCCTACTGCTTATCATCCTGTACTGGAAATTAACTGCTACATTTTTCTTAGGGTTTCAATTTCTATTCAGCAGGGGATAGGAGGCAGTCCTTATTTCTGTGCAACTGAAAAAGAGTGAAATTTTTAAAGCTGAAAGTTATTCACAGATTTCAGACACCCTATTCACACGCTGTAAGAATGCAAAGAGGGAAATACACGTTTTTTAAACCTTTTCTTGTTCCAATAAGCATAGAAAACTACATACAACAGTGGCCTGTGACACCCTCTAACTGATTCCTTTTGTAAGTACCATATTTTGTACTTTAATCACACATGAAAAAAATAACTTGCAGAAGGGAGGCAGAACCCCCAACCACCAGAACACGACACAGGGGGTGCAGCAGCAGCTCCCTGGACCCTGTGACAGGGTTCACAGTGACGGGGCACTCCCCACTCTCTGTGGACAGGCACAGCGAGCCCTGACCCTGCTGGTCCGAGAGGAGCCTCACCTTGGGCGATGTCATCCTGCCTCTGCAGGCAGGGCCGCTCCCGGGGGGGCTGCTCGTCCTGCCGGCAGTGCCTGCCCTCGTTGAACACCTGGGGCAGGTTGGCCGTGTGCACCTGGCGCAGCTGCTCGTAGTCACTCAGTGCTGCTGACAGGTCCCAGTTCTTGCCTGCAAAACAGCGACACAACAGCGAGCTCGCAGCTGGGGGGAGCACACACACCCATCCACCACAGCCCTGGGTGGGAAACAGGGACACAACAGCGAGCTCGCAGCTGGGGGGTGCACACACACCTACCCAACACAGCCCTGGGTGGGAAACAGGGACACAACAGCGAGCTCGCAGCTGGGGGGAGCACACACACCCACCCACCCACACACCCACCCACCCAACACAGCCCTGGGTGGGAAACAGGGACACAACAGCGAGCTCGCAGCTAGGGGGGAGCACACACACACACACACACACACACCCAACACAGCCCTGGGTGGGAAACAGCGACACAACAGCGAGCTCACAGCTGGGGGGAGCACACACACCCACCCACCCACCCAACACAGCCCTGGGTGGGAAACAGGGACACAACAGCGAGCTCGCAGCTGGGGGGTGCACAAACACACCCACCCATCCACCCAACAGAGCCCTGGTGGGAAACAGCGACACAACAGCGAGCTCGCAGCTGGGGGGAGCACACACACACACACACACCCACCCGGGCTGCAGGACCCTACAGAGAACACAGCCCCATGTGGGAAACAGCTGGGTGAAAGGCATCCACTGCTCTCCTCCCACCCACAAATCCAAAATCTGCCACCCTGCATCACACAAGGCAATCGAGGCCACGACTTGCCTCGCTCAGGTTCTGGTCAAGTGGCTCAAAAGTAGCAATTTAAGATGAACACGAAATCCCACTGAGAGGGAGCAATCATTCCCATCTGTGCCCTTGTATTAATAATAAATAGTAATTAGGAGCAGTGATGGGCAGACATGAGTGATAGTCTTAGAGGCCAGCAGAGTGAGAAACTTCCTTGTCTTTGTATTCACAGAACAGCAGAATGCAAATGCAAAATACTTCAGGTCCCTTTGTCTCATACATCAGAACTCGCTCCCTCAGAGACTTTAAAAGCCCTTTGGAAAGCAGGTAATGTAGACAGTGCTCAGTAACAACACATGCAGTGAGAGGACGTGGGCAGTGAGGTTCCATGTCTGTGTGAGCTGCTCACAGAACCTGCCAACACAGAATTCCCCAAAAGATTTGCTTCCAAGCTTCCCCCTCAGCATATTGCTCTGACCAGCAACCACAGAATGCAGCCTGATATCCAGAGGTACATAAGCCTGTTTAGTACAGGGGGGGAAATGGTATTTGTCATTCTCAGAAATAAAAAATATTGAGGTGTCTGCACGCTCTTTTCAAAACAATCCTGCTAAGTTAAAGTACACAGATGTTCACCATTCTCCAAGTACTTGTTTCTAATTGGAAAACTGAAAATATTTAATAACCAGAGAAGAGACCCTGCAAATTATATGAGACTTTCACAGCATTCCACAAGTGGTTTTTCAAAGGTAACTTGATTCTGACTAATACATGATTTATTACACCAGAGTAGGTTGTCATTTTAGGTATTTTAAGAGGCTACATTACCTGAGTAGCAGTTAAAGATAACTTATGTGCTTACACAAAGTAAATATAGTACAAAGCACTTTTAAACAGATAAAAGTCTTCTACTGTTACAGCCACATCTGTGAAGAACAAAAACCTAACTGAAGAAGTTAAAAAATAACATGACCAGCTGTTACCTACAGGGTTGAGCTAAACTATCTTAGGTTTTGAAGTACTAAACAAAGTTGTGAAAGGAGAACTGGTATCATGGAGCAGGAATGTTACACACTGAGCAGTCCATCACATAAACCTCCCTGTCAGAGAGAGAGCTGTTGTATCTGCTGGGCTGCAATCTCCTATCAGAAAGGCTGTAGGACAAAACAGGAATTCAGTGAAAGTTGTCAGAGATCAGGAACAAGCTCTGAGTTATTGCCAGCATTTTTTCACTTCAAGTCCCATGTAGATTGAAGGCTTAGAATACAGTCAGGGCTCTGCTCTAACTATACTTATCATCTCAATCAAATTGTACAACCCAAACACCCAGGAATCGTGAGTGGGTTCCCAAGACTGATCTGATCCCATATCAGTGTCTGGAGCAGGGATTGCTTTCCTTTGGTCCCAGTTTTAGCAGGCACTTAAAACACATTTTTGAATTCTTCTTATCTATCAGAACAATAAAGTAAAACTTCTTTTCCTTAAAGAAGGGAAAGTGACAATAAATACAATTCTAGGAAATGTAGCTTTAAACAAAACAGTATTATCTGAGTATTGACAATGCTCCAGGTCCAGGGCTATGTGACCCCCAGCAGCAGCCTGGATTTATTCAGGACAGGTGCCTGAAGAACAGATCCACACCAGTGCAACACAAACAGCATTTCTCCTGTGTCAGGGCATTCCCTACAGGTCTCTTGCTCAAGATTTTTTCATGTTTAAATTCTGAAGCTAAATAAAGTCCTTGTGCCTGTGCTGTGAGTGAAGCTGTGTGACAGGGCTTTGATGTATGGAACAGGAAAGCAGAAAATCAGCAGACTAACAGAAACCCTGCTGCCCTCAGTTTTAAGCCAAATGCAATCATCTTATATAAAACCTCTATCATCAAAATTACATTCAGCCTTCAGAAACCAGGCTCACAGGGTGTTGCATTTAAAACTAAATTGCAGGGACTCTGAGTTACACTCCATGGTCCATGGCAGCAACTGAAGTTCTGAAACACACCTTGTTTAGGAGGTGCCTGTTTCAGAGGCGTACCAGTGTCATTTCAGCACATTCCATCACATCAGATGGCAAGTCACTGGTTCCACTGTATGTCAGGAACAACCCAAATGCTCCAAAGCCAGCACCAACACAGTGGCTTTACAGCAAAGGCTTTGAGTTTCTAATGGTCAGAGAACCATTCTAGAACCATTCTAATGGTTTAGACAATCAGCCAAAAAGCTGGAGCAGCACAAAGCTGGTTAGAAAACAGGTAGTGAAATCGTGATCAGGATGCTGGAACAGAAAGAACACTCTTACTGAGCAACTGTTTCCTGAACAGCTCCGTGTGCTGTGTGAGTCAGCAGGTGGGAAATGTAACAGGACTAGAAGGTCTCTGCTTCAAAACCAAGTCTTTCTAGTGTGGAGCTAAAAACCAACAAACCAGACAAAAGCAGTGCAGCTGAGTAAGGACTGGAAGATCCACTGTGGCTGAGGGCTGGTACTGACGTTTGACTGTCAGAGATAGCAGACACCTACATGAAAGGGAACTTCAAAAATAAACACAACTACACTGCGAGGTTTCTGCCCTAAATAATACTTGCTTAAATAACAACAGGAGGCATTATCAGCCTGAATTAAAACCAAAGAGTTAGATAAAACAATATGTGGTCTAAGAAGCCACTTACCCATTTTTGTCTTACCAGCCCAAAGTGGATTAGCAGAGGGTTAATAAAATAAATGCTGAAGAACAGCAAGCGTAGGACTCATCTTAGTAGCATTCATAATATTATAGATTCATAGAATGGTTTAGGCTGGAAGATCATCTCATTCCAACCCCCCTGCCATGGGCAGGGACACCTTCCACCAGCCCAGGTTGCTCCAAGCCCCGTCCAGTCTGGCCTTGGACACTTCCAGGGATGGGGCAGACACAGCTTCTCTGGGCAACCTGTGCCAGGGCCTGCCCACCCTCACCTCACCCTAGATAAAGGAATTTCTTCCTAATATCTAATTTAACCCTGCCCTCTTTTGGTTTGAAGACATTTCCCCTTGGTCTCTCACAGCAGGCTCTTGTCCAAAGTGCCTCTCCAGATCTCTCAGAGCCCCTTTAGGTACTTGTTGAACTCGATGATGTTCTCACAGGCCCAGCTCTCGTGCCCATCAGGGTCCCTCTGGGTGGGATCCCTTCCCTCCAGGGTGTCACTCCCACCACAGCTCAGTGTCCCAGTGCTGAGGGTGCCCCGTCCCCCTGCCCATGGCCCTGACAAAGATGTCAAACAGCACCGGTTTGTCCCTGAGGACACCACTTGTCACCATCTCCACCTGGATACTGAGCCATTGACCACAACCCTTTGGGGGTGACCACCCAGCCAGTTCCTCATCCACTGAGGGGCCCATCCATCAGGTCCCCATCTCTCCCGTTCAGAGACAAGGGTGGCACATGGGACAGTGTCAAATGGTTCGCACAAGTCCAGGTAAATAATGTCAGTCTCTCCTCCCTCACCTCCAAGTCTGTAACCCCAGAGCACCATTACTGAGTCTTTGGGTTTTCTGCTTTGTGTTGTTTTGGCTCAAACACTTAGTAGGGCTGTAACAGTTAACAAATCCATTGTCTTACACTTCTTAAATCAAACATGATAAAAAACTAAAGGACATTTATCACTCATTAGTAGAAAAAGCAAGCATGCAGCTATAACACAGTCCCCCCACCAAGCTTTCAAATATCCACCTACTCCAATATGTTGGAAAGAACATTTGAAAGGTCACCAGCAATTCTTGATTTAACAACAAACAAAATGCTACAAAGGATGTAATTTGAGAGGGGGAACTAGGAAAAGATCTAAATAAGAACAAAGTGAAGGGGAACTCGCAGCAACAACATATATATACACACACACACAGGATTTCAGCAAAGGAAATTTTAGGAGGGGCAAGAAATGCTGCGTAACGAGAAACAGGACCCACTGACCCAGTGGAATAAAGCCATTATGGGACAGCATCACCTGAGAGGGCAACAAGCCAACTTTCATTCAGGCAGACAATAATGATCTGAGGAAGGCACTGAATATCAATTGTCTGTGAAATGAACCTGTAAGTGCAGTTTGAAGGCAACACAGAAACACCCCAGGCTAATGCAAGCAAGTCTGTTTTTACAAACCAACTGCTAATAAAGCAATCCACAAATTCAGTTTAAATGCAGTCCCTTCTTCCTATTTGGCATGAAGGAGATTTAAAATGCTAACAGGCATAAGAAGAGGAACTCAAGACCAGCTTTATGCCTTCTGAAAAACTCATATGCAAAACTGGTATAGAATTAGACCATAGGTTTTAAAACAAGATTCCATTTTGGTCCACGTTCTCAGAGGAAAATAATATAGCAATGCCATTTTGTTAAGATTTGTCTCATTTTCTGCTAGAATGCAAAGTCACTTCCAACTGACCAGGCAGCTGGAAAGGCCAGTTTTGATCTCTGCCTAACGAGACGTCGGGAGCAGCTCAGCTTCCTCCTCCCTTTGCCAAGCCTTCCACAAGGGAACTAAAAAAGGAACAGTCTGAGGGACAGGAGAATAAGGGACTATTTTTGGGGAGTTGTTTTGCACACTCAATCACATGACAGTACTGTAGATTTCTCTCTCCCTCTCTAGTAATTACATGCTTTTCTTGGAATTCTGCTTATATTCACTGCTCTTTGAGGAGGCTGCATTCCTGTCCCACTCCATGGGGTCAGCCTCCTTTGCTGCTTCCACTTCCTGCCTGCAAAGCCACTCTCCCCATTTCTGAATTTATGCTCAGCTATGTACACCTCAATTAAGTGCTGTTTGAGGCTGGAAAAAGACAGCAATTATTTTGATATAGTGGTGAAATACTACATCATTTATATGAATAAATGAAACTATTTATACAAGTCAAAGGGCAACTTTTCAGTTAAATATATTATTTTTTATGCATTTTGTATTATTTTTCTTCTTTTATTGTTTTTATTATTATTATACAAACTAAGCCATTTCTAATGCAATTTTATCCACCAATGAATTGCTGATTAGACAGATACAAGGCTTTCCTAAACACAGACACAGCAATGTCATGAAAATAAAATTAATTTCTTAGGCAGAACTATGAAAAATAAATTAATTTTTAATGTTGGTGCAGCTTTAAAAGTCTGCATTCATATCCATTTAGAGAAGTGCATGATAAAGTTCTCATATCACTGAATAAATGCCTTTCAGATTTTAAGTCTCTGAAATCTGAGCTCCATAACAGTTAAAACAATTGTAGAGAATTCTAAAATTCCTAACTTTGAAATGTCAAACCGAGCACAGACTTAACTACAAACTCCCTGTGCAGCACTAAAGCAAACTCGGCCAAAAATATAAACAACAGCATATGCAACGTGATGGCAAAAAGGCAATCTCTGTACTGAAAAAATACATACCAAAATAGCTAAAACATACATACATTCTTTATACATTCTGTATACACTGCTGTGAATGACAGAGAAAACATAGAGACTCAAAGTGAGACTGGCAGCTCAACAAGTTCAGCTTATCAAAATTAGATACTAAAGCAATTGATTTATATTATTACTTATTTTAAGATTCTAATAGCTGGCAAAAATACCCAGACACAAATAAATTAGAATAAACACGTGTGTGTATATACAGATTTTTTGAAATCTCTTTGTCTCTTCATTTCTCATCTGGAATGGACACTTAGTGAAAGATGTGTCCAGCAAACCAGAGGAATGTCTTGGTGAGTGGGTGAGACAAGAATAAGATAAGAATCAATCAAAAGCTCAGTGGAAGAAAACTGCTGGGGTTTTACCAGCAGGACAGGCAGAGCATGGAAACATCAGCTGAGCCCACACTCAGGACAGCTCCTGGCAATGCAGAAAATCCATATGCAATGCATAGATCTTTCAGCTGTTTGTACAACTGTGTATTTAATTCACCCCTCTGCTGCCAGGATGAAGCACACATCTATTGAGCACAATAATGTCCTGCTACGTCCCCAGCACAAAGCCAAATGATGAGTGTGTTAAGATAACTGGATAAGGAAGCAGAAACTGCTATCCTTGATTAGCTACAGGATTGGGAAATGGAAGACATTTCCCCAAAAAGATGAATGAAAGAATCAGGATTAGCAAACTGCATCCAGTACTACCTCCCAGCACAAGATACTGCCAGTGTTAGAAGCTGCTACACCAAATGCAGCCACAACTACACTATGTTGAAATGTTTCTGTGAGCACATCTTGTCCAGGACTAGCAACAATCCTTTACTTTGAGAAATTTACTTTGAGAAATATCTTTTACTTTGAGAAATTCCTGTGTAGGAGGAAATCATTTGGGCTGGGTGCATATGTCTATTAGCCTGTCAGAATAATTGAACTGCCTACTGCTTATCTCTTTGTTCATTAGTATGATGTGAATTTATAAATCTACAGAAATGAGTTCAATATAGAAAAATTCTCTATTTATTTGGAAGCATTACCCTTTGTAACAAGGAAAATAAGTAACTCTTCTGAACCACCTCTGATATGGTGGAACTCTTTTTCAAATTTCAGCAATGCTCTGTCAGCACAATAACTGACAATCTGTCCTGACACTGGCTGAGAAAAACCTTCTCATGTTCTTTTTCAACAAGACCGTCAGACCAAGACAGAGTCTGGGCTAGAATGACAGGCTGATCAAATCAGTCAGACAAAACAGAGGGCTCCTAAATATAGCAAGCCTATGATGATATTCCTAGCTAGGAATTCCAAGGTTTTAGTACATCTAACAGGTAAATGGGAAGTTCTGCAGCACCTCTGTGTTAATAATGTACCACACCTTGTTACTGAGAATTGAGCAAAACCAACTATTACAAAATACCTTCAAATATCAATGATGTCTTTCCACTTTTAAGCCTATAAACCAACTACAAACAAATAAATAAATAAATAGATACAGTTATTTTTCTGATATGGCTTCTGAGACGCTTTTCAACATGATCATTTGACTCCCATAGTGTGAAGTTCACATATGCATATTGACCACTGTGCCCCAGAAACATCTCTGGTGTCTCTATCAGTTTAAGTCCCTTCAGACTAAACTTTCCTGCTTTGCACACTGAACTGAGAAACTCTTACAACTACTTTCAGGCAGCTGAATATGACAGAACTGACCTCCCTTCCCTCCCTGACACATGAAGATTTAGGGCATGACTCTTAAAACACAGCAGTCTAACAGTAAGAAGTTTTTAAGGCTTGTTGTTGGAAACCCCTGCCTTAGCATAATCCATGGCCAGTTTACTGTGAGAGCTGACTTAGCAAGGATACAACAAAATACCTGTTCCATGGACCAGAGTTCTCTTTTTATGACTGCTTCTTGCCTCAAGCAGTGAACACAGGGAAGGGCTGTGTCCCAAAACCTTACCTTCCAGTAAGTCAAAACCTTACCTTCCAGTAAGTCAAAACCTTACCTTCCAGTAAGTCTCTTGCCAGACCTGGCTCTGCCCCTGTGGACCGAACAAAGTCTGACAGGACTGCATCCATATCAAGAGTCATGTGCTCATCCAGAGGTGCTGCCAGACATGCAGCAGCAGCAGGACTCGCTGGTGGGCTACAAGGAATCCATCTGCCAAGGAGAGACAGGGGTTAGAATATATTCCAGTGTGATGTAAACCACCTTGTTCCTCTCTTCCCCAAACAAGACTAATAAAAATGCTAAAACATTCATGTTGCAGCATATTAAAATAAACAGCAGGTCATCCCTCTCTGCCTTAGCCTAGAAGCTGTCCATCACTCATACTAAAAGATCTTCTCTATCTTAACATTTCATATTTTCATAGATTTTTCTTATGTGCAGCTTGTAAATAATCCTGCAACTTGAAGACTCCAATTCAGCCAACTGTTCATTAAAGGCAAAATCACCACATCATTGTCCCTGCTCATAAACTGAGGTTCAGCAAGTATTTAAATGTCTGGCTAGCCTAGAGCTCCTCTGCCTTCCTAATACTAACTCATGTACAACAGGATTTGTGCTTTTATTTGCCCTGTCAATACAACTTGTGTAATTTAGAGATTCTCCCCTGTACTGGCTCTGGCTGGGATGGAGTTAATTTTCTCTGTTCCTGCTCTGGAGTTGTGGCTGAAGCAGCACTGGGAGCACATCAATATTGTGTTCAATAGTGGTGCAGTGCTCACACAGCCACGGGCCCTCCCAGCGTCCTGCTCTGCCCCCACAGTGAGTGGGCTGGGGTGGGACACGGCTGGTATTACACCAATTTACAGGGTTCCTTTGGTTTATTATTTTATTTTCTCTCGCTGATGACCAGTGCTGTAGCTGCTGAGCAGTTGTGGCTGTGTTTATGAGCAGTCTGTGGGGGAAAATCTTAGCAGGGAACTCTCCTGGGGACACCACCACCCAGGGACCTGGTAGGAAGCAGATCATGTCACACGTGACACAGTGTCTGGCACGGGAATTTTTCTTGCCAAATCCATTCACAACAAAAATACATCTGCTCTACTGCACTTTGTACCTACTTTTTTGTTCCTGAAAACAGGAAACTTTGCCTTACTTCTAGGCAATGTTCTCTACAAATATCAAATAAAAATTAAAGCAGGCATTACAAGAGTAGTTGATGCCAGGCAAGCTATTAAGCTGCTGGAATTTAAAACACAGTTATCCTAAAGGTATTTCCATATTTCTACCCTGCCTGCACCGCTGCAGAAATAGGGCAAAGCAAACAGGATGAAGTTAAACAATACACAAGAAAAAGTGCATGTTTTATTGTCATGCTTGTCATTCATCATTGGTCAAAGTTTACCTCTGAACATGAAGTGGATTTTTCCTGTTAATTCCTCCTCATAGGCTCAGTTGCAACTTTATCCTGTGCCAAGGGTAAGGACTGACATGGAGAGTTCCTACTGGCAGCAGATGATGTTGGTTGGCTCTTGATTGCACCACAGCTACAGAGAAATAAACTGTGAGAGAAATTGGAAACCAGTTGATTTCCCTGTCCCCCAAATGAATCACAGTCCTTTCCTACTTCACATGCAATTACCTGGTTATATTAACCTTGAAAAATGGAACACTTTTCCTTTCTTAGAAATTGCCTTTTTCTGCAAGTACTTATCCCTGCCAGAGTGCAAACCTTCTGCCCCAGGAGGGTGAGCTCCTAAGAGCTCTAAAATCACAGAATCAATCCGAGACCAAGCCCACCCTTTGACCAATCACCACCTTGTCAATTAAACCACAGCACTGCCATGTCCAGCCGTTTCCTGAAGTTTTCACCTCCAGGGTGGTGAACCATTTGTGCTTTTATACTATTTCTATAACTGTATCATTATGTTTGGGCCCCATTAGGATAGCAGGGGAGGGATCTCTTGCTCTCTGTTCAGCCCTGGTGAGACTCATCTGAAGTGTCATGTCCATTTCTGGATCCTCAGCAACAGCCAGGGACACCCTGGAGTGAAGGACCACAAAGTGCACTGGGTCACCAGTCCCGAGGGAAACACTCCTGGACTGTAACATAACCCAGGTGTAGTAACAGAAGAGAAGCTGGAAATACTGAGGAGAATAGTTAAAAAGGAATGCACACACTCTGGGAAGAGAACTACTTTAATGGATTATGGCCAAATTCAGCATCTAAGCTTTGTAGCAACTGAATCTGTTCCAACACAAATGAAGGGCAAAAATGCTACTTTTATTTTTAAGAAATACCCACACATAGATGCACTGTACTAAACAGCACTCACACCTGTACAAAAAGATGCCAAGAAACGGAATACAGCTAATTAGTGACTAGGAGAAAGAATGCAGTGAATCTCAGCCAGCAGGACAGGAACATAAGGAACATGCTAAAGGAACCTGCCCCAGATGATACAAAGCACTGGTGAATTTGAGATCACAATCACAAGTGACTCAGTAGTATAATGACTGCTAATTTAAAATGCACCAGCTGGGCACCCAAGAACAGTCACTGTGTGTGGGGGTAAACTGCTCATGAGTTTGGAAAGCTGAAGTGAATATCAGCCTGAAGAAGCCAATTCATGAGTTATCTCAGTATCAGCATTACTTCAGTATTTTCAACAGTAAAAAAGGACATCCTTTTAAGAGCAGAAGACAAGACCAATCTCTGCATTTATGACATCACCATCACCTCAGAATTACCTCAGAGAATCTACACTCTGAAGGGAAGGAGCAGAGTTGGCAGGATCTTCCCTGGATACACGTGAACTAACACTGTTTTTTCCCCAAAGAAGTTGTTCACTCAGCTCTGTAAAATTTAGATTAAAAAAAAAAAAAAGCCAAACCACCAAGAACAAAACCCAACAAAAAAAATCTTTATAAAATATTATCTTTGCCAGAAAACTCCTATGAGCTGTGAAAACCCACCCAGATGGAATAGTAAAAACTACCAAGCAAAAAGAGAAAACAAACTGTAAAGGAGGCAGTGACTCAGGAGGCAGATGGTTCTCAGACTGTTCTCTCTCCTCACCTAAGGAACCATCAGCACCACCTTTGCTCTCCATGGCTTGGCAAAGCACTAACACAAGTTAACATTTTAAATCCCCACACTCGTTGATGACTGTGTGAGATCCCTCCCTTTCAGCCCAGCTGTCCCTGAGCATCACTCCTGTGCTCACACAGAGCCTGCAGCTCCCACTGCACACAGGACACACGAGACACACACGGCACCTGGAGCTCAGTGGAAACTCAAACATCTTCAGTGTCACAACACACCTTTGTTTTCACTTTTCTAGCCAAATTTCTTCCCTAAATAATTTCTTATTTATACAGTGCAAGTACAAGAGGCAGTGAAAGGGGATAATTTTTTTGTTGCATATTATAAGAAAAAGCATTTGGAAGGTATTTAAAGAGGAGCTATTTACTTTGAAATGTTAAGATGGGTTAATATCAAAACAGCAAAATGGGACTTGAAATCAATTTAATACAATCTCAGTTATATCTGATCTTTTCTTCTTCTTTAAGTACCTCTCTCAAACCTGAGCCATACTTGGAAGCAAGCAGTCTTTACCTGAATCTAAATTTGACTTCTTCAAAATCAAACAGCTTCAGCCAGTTAAACAATATGAAGATTTTTTTTCTAAAGAAGCACAGAGTTACATAGGGTATCTATAACTAATAACTCATAACCAGTGAAGCAAAAGCAAGAATGTCAAAAGAAATCCCAGTTCCATATGGCCATCGCAGATGATACAGGGCTTTCAATGCACATCTGTGTCTAAGTTAGGCACCTGAAGCATTTATTTCTACCTATAATACTTATCAGGTGTGTATTTAGGTCACACCTGAAAATACTGAATACCTGAAACACATTTGGGGGTTTTCCTTTCATTATTTAACAGTTCACCCTAATTTGTCAGTCTGCACCAGCCCATAAAATCCACAAAAACAACTGGACAGAAATTCTTATATTAGGTTTTCCCAGAAAGTTTTTAAGTTCTCAAGACAGTTTTTTTCCTAGACAGGATGACTTTAGCTGGAAAGACACATGGTATCTCAATAAACACATGCAAATAGGAGCTTGCTTTGTTTCCTAACAAAAGTCATTCTTAGGGGATTGAGTGACAAATAACAGAACTGGTAACAAGGAGATTTTCCTCACCTTTTGTTTGCTCAGGACATCCTAACTCCCTCTGCGGTGATTTCTGCGGTGATTTTCACTGTTCTCAGAGATTCCAGGCCCTCAACCTCCCCAGAATCCCTCTGGCACTGCCCTAAGTTGCAGGGCACTGCTGCAGGATCCCCCAGCCTGCCCAAAATTCAGATTTGTCCAGAAATCACTGGACACAAGGCAGCTCTTCCCCACAATGCACAAAGCTGCTTAAGCCAAACACCCTCAGAACAGATCTCACAGATTCCACTGGACTTAATAATTGAAGTTAAGAGTAGATATTTATGCTCAGACTCCTACAGCACAGAACTTTAAAGACAAATGAAAAGCAAGCATATCTCTTAAATATTTTACTTTTAGACTTTATATTCATCCCATTCAAATTAGATCAGAGATTACTCCACCTGCTTCACCCTTATTTTTTTTTAAACAGCCTTTTATCTTCAAATAACCTCTAGTTTTAGCTGCCAGAATATAGAGGTGAAAGCCAGTTTTTAACCTTAGAGGCAGAAGAATATCTCCCATAGAGCTAAATATATACTATACACTTTGATGACAGATGAAGTGAACCTAAATTTAGCAATCTGTTTTATATGGCTAAACCCATGCTGCTCACAGAGCTTCAATGACAGAAACAAAACGTGATTCAGGAAACATCTCTGTACAAACTGTACTGTTTAAGCTACTGGACACGTCACCAAAAAGGCTCCTTGAAGCCTCTGTACTAAACTGGGAAGACCAGCCCCTACATCAAACACCACCCCTACCTGATCCACTCAAATCAGCTGCACTTGATGAGTTGCACCACTTGAAGGGCAGGTCCCTCCAGCAAGAGGCACTGCACACTCACCTGAGAGAAGGGACACTGCTATGGCAGAGGCTGGACCAGATCACCCCCGTGGTCCCCTCCAACCCTGCCCATCCTGTGATTCTGGGACAGGCACTTACAACTTATTGGCAATAATAATCACCCAGTTCTGCAAAGTCTGTAGAGATGCTCTAGAAAGTTGCCTGATGGGGAAGATCTTCACAGCACATGAAGTTACAGTGACAGATTAAAGGTGTTAGTTGAAGGATCCCAAACAACAGTAACCACCCAAATAAAAGGTAAGTGCACTAGACCTGATGGGAAGGTGGGGTGTATGTTGATTATAAAATGTAGACTCTCAAAACATGTCAGATTACAGGACAATTAAGATTACTGAAGTTCTGTCTGCACAACAGAGACTCAGAAAAATGAACCCAGTTAACTTCACTGGATTTGTCTCTGTCCATTAAATTCCTTTGCAAACACTTTCATCTGTGAATAAAACGTGGCCTTAATTTGGTCTGGCTCATCTTGCCTTCAAAGTGAATGAAACTAAATTCACTGGAGGCCACTTTAATTATGAATGGGATAGTGCACACAGAGACTTGGTGGGATGGAAGCTGCCCTCTTCAAATTCTGACATTTAGTTGACTTGATTCAATTTTCCTCAGTATCTTGTGCAGACAAGTCTTGAACAGACACATTAGACACACAGGTATAAAGCAGAGAAAGAGAGAAGCTATGCTGAAGAATTCTCAGCCCTGTGGGAACCATCAAAGAAGAGAACTGTTCAAGTACTTTAAGTTCAGTTTTAGGATAAATACCATCAAAGTTCAGAGACCAACTGGGAAGTACTTTTAAAACACAGCTACATTTCATTTCTCTGAAATGCTACTTAAAATGTCTACTATTTGCTTATTTGAATTATTTCAGGCTAGAACTGTAGAATAAGGACAGTCCTAAATTATCTTTTGAGATATTTATTTAAGATTTAGAGATTATAACCTATGACTGGAGGCTAAGATTAAAGAAAGTAGAAAACTTGAAAAGATCACTCTGCATTTAAGAGCTGTGGCACACTCCCACTGAAGAAACAGCATGGAAAGCTCAATACCTTAAAATACCTCAGTCCCCATAGAGTGTTGTGAAACAGCTGCCCTCACTGTTAACAACAGAGGTCCTTTACTTGCACTCTGTCACTGGATTTTCATGGAGCTTCAGAGGGTTTTCATTGCACTATTTTTCTTACTTGAGAATGGTAACGTTCTCAGAGGGGAAAAATGTCACAGATGAACAGAAGTCCACAGAAAGAGGGGTCCTGGACTCAAACCGAGCAAGAGACAGAGCCTTTTCAGGTAAGGCTCCTCTTGCATCCCTGCATCAGCATTTTTTCAGGATAAAACAATACCACTGCCGTAACATTTTTCCTTTCCTTCATTTTGAGTTATTTAGCCCCTACACTGCAATTTCTACAATCAACTGTCATAGCAACAGGAGGCTAAGCCTGCATTTCCATTGCAGATCATCCTTTCAATCCTGTTTTTCATGCCCTCAGCCAGGGCCTCTGATGTGCAGTGCTGTGCAGTCACTTCTCACGGGGACACACCGGTAACCACGCCTGGGTAACCACACACACAGGTGACCACACCTGGGTACCACACACACACAGGTGACTACACCTGGGTACCACACACAGGTACCACACACACCTGGGTACCACACACACACACAGGTACCACACACAGGTCAGGCAGCAGCTCAGCCTCCAGCTCAGCATCTCTGCAGCACTTCCTCCTGTACTTTCCTTTCACAACAAACAGCTGCTGCTGAAAAGCCAGACTGCTAAGATTAGTCCTCCTGTTAAGGCTGCTGATTCTTGAGCTGTAAATAGATACACAGCTGATTAAAGCTACCTTTAAGCAAGTGTTTAATTTGACTTACAATAGACTTTAAATAAGAGTTCCTTGAGGCAGGTGTTGGATGGGTGTTATGCTGCTGGTTTTTGGTGAGGAAAATAATCCATTTTTGCCACAGTAGAAGGTATGAATAAGCAAAATTTTGTCCCCTGAGAAATCTGAAAAAAAATAAAAGAGAAGTAGTATATTAATCATTGCACTTCCTCATGCTATTTGAATTATAATAACTGCTAAAACCAACCTTACCTTTGACCTTAGAAGCTTAATGGATACTACTCTCAATGCAGATAAATTACCATATACAATAATTTGCATAAAGAATATTACTTGGGTACAACCCAGATAATTTAGAAAAAAAAAAGAATTATGTATAAAAACCTCCGACATGAAAATGGCTATTCACTCTCTATATTTCCTCTAACAGTTCTCTTTCCTGAGATCATCAAATACACCTTTCTAACTGTTCTTCTCATAAGCTTCCACAATCTAAGGCAATGAACTAGTGAAGAGTTATCCAGGAGAAGACTCAATCAGGTTAGTCATTTCCTTTGATGAAAAAGAAAAAAAAAAAAAGAGATGAGCACATGAAGAAAGGAAGGGCACTGTTTCATGGGGTTTATTTTTAAAAGAAACAGCATTTCCCTTTGCATATAATCTACTCTTATCTCTTAAGTTTAAGTCCTGCTGCTTGCAAATACATAATCCAATTACTATAAGCTTCACCTTATTATTTTAAAAGGCACTTACAATCAGTTTTACTGTTCCTGGTTTTTAATCCATTCACCAAACCCATTCGCTCGTAACTGGGCCCAGCCTTATCAAAATCAGGATTTAAGAGCTATCTGCCCAAACCTTTTCATCATGGAATGCATTCCTCCTGATACTGCTTTTAAAACAGGCAGAAATATAACACAGTCCCCAGTTTGGGAGAATTAGGGTATGACAGAATGTTACCTATGTACTATTTCTCATTATCTCCTAGAATGCATACAGAAATAACCAGATCTCAGTAGATAATGGTCCTTATGCAAAAACTCCCAGTTGTCTGTGTGATGAGTTGAGTATCTCAATTAACAAGTGTCAACTCACTCAGCTCTAACTCAACTCCCGAGTGTTTGTGAACTAATAGATGTAAAATCCAGTACTCAGCAAGATTCCCAGCTTTTCTTTTTTCCCCTACACCCTGATGTACTTTCATGCAAGAATCAAAAAGCTGACCAAAGAATTATTCTTTGTTGGGACTTATGAATGTTCCACATTATAGATATCCTCATACCAATGTAGATGATTTTAATAGTTCACAATAACAAACAGCATCATTTCACACACTGCAAAGGAAATGCAGTCAAACCACACGTGCCTTATCTTTATCACCCTCACAGAACTCTGAAAAGCAACTGTAAACCCCTCAACTTACAGAAGTAACCTTTAATAGCTCTAACACTTTCAAAGATACTTGAACTGCAAGGGGTAGAAATAACCACCAACTGTGAATAAGCCTAAACATTTCCCCGTATGCAATGTTAGCAAACTGCAATATCTACAAATACCTCTGAACCCCCTGTTAGCTCTGGGAAATAACAGAACACTCCCTTATGCTGATGTGCTTCTGCTAAGATGTGACTTACCTGCCCTGGAAATAATCAAGCAGTCAAAGTGTATTCCCTTTTTCAGCTACATATTAACAAGCAACGACTGAACCATTTCTGCAATTCTGTTCAACACATCTGCTGCACAGAAAAATAAACCCTTTCCAACACTTGACCTACTTCTTCTGCTGAAAGAGGGCTTAACCTGTGTGCTTGCAGTACATGCTTTATCACACCACAATATACCATTTAAACTACAATAACAATTATTCCACTTAGTTTGCTTCAACAGTTTAAGATCAACCTTCAGTACCACTGTCTCTGTCTGCTGTACTCCCTGGACGCAGGGCCAATAAACTGTGACCCCAGCTTGGCCTGGACAAACTACACAGAGACAGAAATGCACAGAACAAAATTAGCTTGAGCTATCCGAAGGCTCAGGGGGTCATCTCAGCTGCAATTCTTTCATCATTCTGGGGACAGGTTTTGAATTTATCTTTTTACATTTGCAAGGTCACTGCAATAACTTCTGCGTGGTGTTAGCAAAGAAAACAAGGAAACACGGACTAAAGATGCTACAAATATATTTCAAAACAAAGAACTTGAACTCAAACAGGGGTTTTGAAGGTAAAAATCAGCTGAGGCCAGAGAGCAGAGATGTTCTTCATAAAGAAAGAGTATCCACAGTACCTTCCTAATTTTTCCCTATTTTTGTCTGACATTTCAAAGTAATCACTGACAAGGAGCTGAAGAACTTTTCTCAACTCAGTTTTTAGAAGTACCTCAATTCTCTTCTGAGTCTCATGCAATGTTTGTCCTGAACTCAAAAAGGGGTTCCATTTTCCACTTCTACTTCAGACACAGGACTGAAATACTTCCTACAATTTTCTCAGCAGCTCAGAACCATCTGCACAGTGCTGAAAACCTTCTTTGCTAATGCTCTGTTGAACCTGGGTCAGCATCTCCCCAAAGTCTCAAGTGTGTGCTTGTTCCCGTTACTTTTGTTCCACACATGCACACTGAAGTCGTTTAAGTCCAGACATAAAGCCTTATCTTCTGCATTATCAGCTTTGCCCTTAGTTTGTTAAGACTTGGCTTTTTCAGTGCAAGGGGCACATTCAGACCAAGGCCTTACCTGCAGGGACACTGCTCACTGGTTCTTTGCAGTTATCTCACTGAGCTCAAGCAAAATGAGGGAAAAGGTATCTCCAGTAATAGTGAAGCAGTAACACTCAAGAAGCAATAACAGGATCACCTGCAGGAAGGGGTCTTTAGGATGAAGATGGTCACTATCAGCATGTAGGTCCTCTTACAGAGAAAGGACAGGCACTGAAGAAATGATAATTCTATTTATTCTAGCTATGGAAAGTGGCACTGCCACGTCCTGCAGACATCTGTGTTGAAAACTGGGGGGGGGAAGGATGCAAAATCTGACACACAGCTCATCTACAAGGGATCTATGACTGTCTAATGTCCCCTGTTCCTGCAGACACCCGTGACAGTTTGTTACTCCCAGAGTAAGGCAGCACTTCAGTGATGTACCATTTTAACAACCAGTCCTTGGGGACAGCCTGAAATGCTAATACAAACAGATCTTCTTTCATTCTGAACCTTCATCCCTTGAAATCTCTTTATAACCACTGCAAGAGAAACATAAATGCTTTATCTATGTCCTAAGTTTCTCTGGTCTTTCTCAAGTCACTGATGGGGGAAAAGATTTCTTCTCTAGCTAGAAAAGAGTCTTACTTACTCTGACTAGTGGTTCTTCCATGTGAGAAATGGAACACATTTCTCCCCTCCTTGGCTTATGCTGGTTTGACTCAGAAAATGTGTGCGGTGGATTGAGCTGACAGGGATATGAAGGCAGCAGCTTAAAGGACATCAAAAGCGTTTGCATGATGAGCTCTGTATAAATAGTCTTACTGATACAAGTCTCCAAGCATCCTTTATCTCCTTGTACACAGAGATTAGGGAAAGGCTCAAATGCTTAATTGTGTGTCAAGTGCACAGTCAGCGCATTAAGGGTTCAGTATAGGCTTTTAAAATGGAGACTTCAGCATATTCTTGCCTTGCCATAGACAATTCAGCTGCTATTTTAAACACAAGGCTTGACTGTCTGTTACTCTTCACTTTACATTGCTCCTCACATCAAGGCAAAACACATAATGGTGATTTTTCCACACTCCCCTTAAAAACACTGATTCCACCAATTAGTTCATCCCACAGCTTTAGTGACAGACTGATGGGAAAGTTCTCTCTTTTACAAGTACCGTAAAAATAACAGCAAAATTGAACTTCTCAAATTCAGATTATGTACAAAAAGGGAGTCCTTGTAAGTCCTGAAATGCATATAAGCTACCAGCTTGCCAGGCATTTGTATAATGTGCTGGAATTCAACAGTAAGCACATCAGCTCAGTGTGTACTGTGCTAAACCAGCTACAGCAGGAAAGAACACACACACATTATGCAGCAAAACAGAACTGGTAATTTCCCCCCAACCCCATGACTCCCACCCTCACTTCTGTGGAACATGGCATTCCACAGTTACTGCATTTAGTTTGGAAAACTAAACTAACAAGAATAGAAGACTTAATTCCTCTTCCTCCTAAAAACTGTGGCTTAATGTCGCCTCTAGGATTTTAAAACAACGAGAGATACAAAGGAGAAAATGAAGTTTTGAGACCTGGAGTCTGGAATGATTCACATCACAACGTATCAAAGATGGTACAGTGATAAAAGTACAGCAACTGTGTTTCACTTGGGCTGTGTGAGTAGCTGAGAGTCTGAGAAGAATCCAGCAGGAAAATGAAATCCATGCACCTGACACATGCAGAGAGAAAGTCCTCCTGCCATTTGCATAGCAGGGAACAATACCCCAGATGCAGCACGACAGGCATTAAACAGCTCAGGAGCTGTGCTGGGGAGTGAGCACTCACAGCCTGTCATGGAGCTGCTCAGAGCCTCAACCTTGAACTCTTCCTCAGCTCTTCCTGCAGGAAAGTCATGCAGTGAAGTTGATGCATCATCTTTTATACTGAGAAGGAACTGAAATATTTCTATAATCAATTATAATGGACACTAACCTGTTTTAAGAATTCTGAAGACACTAATTCCTATAGTTACTAGAGCAGGATTAAAGCACAATTCCCATAAATCCCATTCAACTGTTGGAACTTTTGCTTATGTTAAAAATCTGAAAGTATCAGTGTTAGGGAAAACATCATAATTGAAAAAGTATGGTGTTTATTTCCAAACCTTTCTGCCAGGGTAAAGGAGGACAGGAAGGTGTAAGCACGTTATTTTTGATGCCAACTCAACATATCACTTCTCATGCTGGAAAGGGGAAAATGTGGCAAGCTTTGTTCAATGATCTAACCAGAAAATTACCATCTCTGAATCAAGTCCTGAAGAAATTGCTGAGAGACAGCCTGCTGCAGTTGAAAAGGTCTCATTTGAGACCCAGGGAAGGAAATAACAGATATCTGTACCTCGTGAAGAGCAGTGTCAAAGGAACACCTTGAGCTGAGCAGCTCAGCTCTGGCCTGCATTAAGGACTTGGACTGATATA